TCCTGCCTTTCTACTGCTTATAGCAGTACTTTCACTAGTTGAATACTTTGCTTCCACAACCTACCTCTTTGGTCACAACCTAACCTTTTGACTTTCACTAGTTGAATACTTTGCTTCCACAACCTACCTTTTTGGTTACAACCTAACCTTTTGACTTCTTGCCTTACTACTGCTTACAGCAGTATTTTCACTAGTTGAATACTTTGCTTTCACAACCTACCTCTTTAGTCACAACCTAACCTTTTGATTTATGCTTTAAAACTATCTTTACAATAGTATATAGCCTTTTCTTTATATAGTGCTTAGTCTATCTTTTTTTCTGCTTGTCTATAAGCTAGCTTTGATTAGCATGTAAGCTAAAGATTTCTAGGAATTCCAAGACATTCTTGCTATTAAAGATTGTAATTTCCTTTTGCAAAGGCATTAAAAGCACTGACTTGACCTAATATTAAAAGCCTGCTATTAGAAAAGGTTTTGCTATAGGGGGAGGTTTTGCTATAAAGAAAGGCATTGCTATTCTTAAAGGTATTAAGGTTTAATCTTGTAGCAAGCTAAAGGTAGGTTAATATGATAGAAAGAGAGTAGGCTGCCTTAAAGAATTGGAATCTTTAGTAAAAGCTTATATAACTTGCAAGGTAAATAATTGCTTAGACTTTCTCTTTTTGTAATTTGGTTTAATTTCCTTTGCCTGCAAGGAGCTTATTGTCTAATTCTTGCTTTCCTAGTCTCTATAAAAGTGGCTTGCCTTTTCTAGATATCTAATTAGAAGCTTTAGGTTTTTTGCAATAGCCTATCTCTACAATTCTAAGTCTTTAACAAATACTAGAATGCTTTTTAGGCTTTCTATACCAAGGAATATAAACCATAGCAATATTATTACTACTCTAGCCTAAACGTAAACTTTTGCGTCATTACTAATTATAGGTTATTTCTTTACTACTTTTTAAACTAGAGAGTCTTTTTTCTTAGGTTTCTCTTTTAGGCAATTCTTTCCTATCTTAATGTTTTGGCATCTCTTTGCGCATATATTAGCCTTCTTAGCAACCAACTAATTAGTTTATACTAGCTAGTTTTTAGGCTTTAAGATAGGTTGTCTAGTCTAGGCTTTACTAGCTTTTGGCTTTCCTAATCTTTTTATTGTAGCTTTTAGCTTTAATCTTTGTCCTTTCTCTCTTTCTAATCCTAGCACTTGTCTAATTATACTCTTTTTCTCAACATGCTACTCTTTTAGCTAATTGTAACTCTAGGTTTATATTATCTCCTTCCAAGATTTTTTGGAAAAAGAAAGAGAAAGGGGAAAGGTTTTCAACGCTACTTTAGCATAATCAAGAGTTTTTTTTTGCTTAACGCTTGGTTGCCTTAGCAATGCAGAAAGCTAGTTGCTTTGCAAAATAAGAAAGCTATTGCTTTTAAGGCATCTTTGTATTTGGTTTGTGACAAAAGAAAAGAGTGTACTGACTAGAAGCATTTAGGGTTAAGCTAGTGCCTTGGCTTTTCTTGTGGTTGCGTGGTTTGATTAGACTGCAGCTTTTTAGTAAGCCTTGTGAATCAAATCTCAAATCGCCTTTTAAATATAAAGAGGAGAGATATAAAACTACCTACCTACCTACCTCTTAGCATAGTATACTGCTGCTAAAGCGTAGGCTCTAACAGCAGTAGCTATGTAATTGGCTAGCAGGTAGATAAAATCGTGCTTTTTCCTTACCTCTAGCGCATGTGACTAGTTAGGTAACCCTAATTAGCCCTATTACATCTTACAGTAGTGCCTAAATCTAGTCATATAAGTAAGGTAGGAAAACGCTAGTGGCGTAATCAATTGAATTGAAGGTGTAAGAAAGGAATAGAATGCAGTAAATCAAGTATTATTGCATAGAAAGCTTTGAAATAACTAAGATGTAAAGAGTGCTGCTTGTAAATCTGTGTAAGTCTGCGTAATTGATGATGATCTTACAATTTAAAGCTCTAATCACGCTTTTATATAAAAGCGCAGAAAATCTAGTCCAAAGCTGACTCATCCTAGCCTAAAGCAGCCTGTGCCTTTTCCATTCACCACGTTATTACAAGGTGGTAATACGTATTAAGTGGTTTGACAAGGTTTGAAAGTTTTAGGTGGTTTGATTTTCTACACCTACCTTGTACTTGCAAGGCTACCCTAGACTTGCCAGGCTACCCTGGACTTGCTGGGCTACTCTAGACTTACAGAGCTACCTTGGACTTGCTGGGCTACTCTAGACTTACAGAGCTACCCTAGACTTGCAGGGCTACCCTGTCCTTAGGGTTAGGGTTGCCTTTGGCAGGAAAGTCCTTTGAACTTCAAATGCCAATTATAAGGTAAGGATTAATCACATGACTTAGCTACTTTGTAGGCTTATAAATAAGTCATATGTAATGCTTAATTAGCAAACTGCCTAGTCATCACTATTGCGGTTACCTTAATATATAGGTTTGAAGTTAGATTATCAAGTAATCTTTATAAAGTTAGAAGGTGCATAGATTGACTAGTTGAAAGAGATTGAGCAATCTAGGCTTATAACCTCAAAAGGTTAGGTTGTGACCAAAGAGGTAGGTTGTAGAAGCAAAGTATTTAACTAGTGAAAGTACTGCTATAAGCAGTAGAAAGGCAGGAAGTAAGGTAGGCAAGTAAGGTGCAAAAAACTAGTTGTATTATGTGGTTTATAATAATTTCACCAAAGTCAGCTAGCTAATCTAACTATATAGTAAAAATTTAGTCTTTTTGCTTTACTTGATCTACTAGATCAAGTAACTTGATACCTTGGATTGGCTAATCAAACCAGGTCCGTAGGATCTAATTGTTTAAATCAGTAGTAATACGTAGATCACACACTTATAAGGTAGTAATACATATCAAGTGGTTTGACAAGGTTTGAAGGTTTTAAGTGGTTTGATTTTCTACATCTAATACATAGATCACACACTTACAAGGTAGTAATATGTATTAAGTGGTTTGACAAGGTTTGAAGGTTTTAAGTAGTTTGATTTTCTACACCTACCTTGTACTTGCAAGGCTACCCTAGACTTGCTAGGCTACCCTAGACTTGCAAGGCTACCCTAGACTTGCTAGACTACCCTAGACTTGCTAGGCTACCCTAGACTTGCTAGGCTACCCTAAACTTGCCAGGCTACCCTAGACTTGCCAGGCTACCCTGGACTTGCCAGGCTACCCTAGACTTGCAGGGCTACCCTATTCTTAAGGTTAGGGTTGCCTTTGGCAGGAAAGTCCTTTAGACTTCAATTGCCAATTATAAGGTAAGGATTAATCACATGACTTAGCTACTTTGTAAGCTTATAAATAAGTCATATGTAATGCTTAATCAGCAAACCGCTTAGTCATCACTATTGTGGTGACGTGGTGAATGGAAAAGGCACGGGCTGCTTTAGGCTAGGATGAGTCAGCTTTGGACTGGATTTTCTGCGCTTCTATATAAGAGCGTGATTAGGGCTTTAAATTGTAAGATTAGGATCAATTACGCAGACTTACACGGATTTACAAGTAGCACTCTTTACACCTTAGTTATTTTGAAGCTTTCTACGCAATAATACTTGATTTACCGCATTTCATTCCTTCCTTACGCCTTCAATTTAATTGATCACGCCACTGGCGTGTTCCTACCTTACTTACACGACTGGATTTGGGCACTACCGCGAGACGTAACGGGGCTGATCAGGGTCACCTGACTAGTCACGTGCGCCAGAGGTAAGGAAGAAGCACGATTCCATCCGCCTGCCAGCTGATCACGTGGCTACTGCCGTTGGGGCCTACGCCTTAGCAGCAGTATACTATGTTGAGAGGTAGGTAGGTAGGTGGTTTTGTGTCTCTCCTCCTTAGTGGTTACCTTAATATATAGGTTTGAAGTTAGATTATCAAGTAATCTTTATAGACTAACTTATATAAGGTGGCTAATTGGCATAGGTTTTGACAGGGAGGTTTGCTGCGATAGTATTGCTAGTAAAGTAGATAGGAAACTATCTTGAGTAGCTTCTTAGTCAAAACGTATATTGAAGCCTGCCTTTGTAAACATTTGGATAGGTCTATCGCGGTCTTTAACTTAGGGCTGCCTGGGGGTCCTTACGCAGGCCTTTCGCGGGGACCTTGTAGGACCGGTTGACTGGGCCAGCTGGACCTTCCTACCCTGCGGGGCAGGACTATACTAATTACAGGACCTTCCAATTGAAGGCCGCGCTCGCGCTAATCACTCGAAGCCACTTTATGTGGCGAACCAAGGCACCTCGGCCACTGGGCTTTCCTAGGCCTCGCGCGTGGGGGCTGGAGCAATATTGACCTGGGCCTTCGGGGCGTAACAGAATAGCCTGCTTGCTCTCTACTAAATGGACTTTTTATTAAGGCTTGCCGCCTTGACAAGCTTAACTCGCCTATTGCAACCCCTCACTGCACTACCTATGCTAACTAGTTGAGTAGGCACTGGTTTGTAGTAAGTAGACTGACGAAGAGGCTTAGGGTGTTTAGATGGGCAGAGTTTGTGCGCCTAAGAACTTGTTTCAAATAGGTAGGAAGCAGGAAGTATAAGAGGAGACAGCCTCTTAGAGACGTGCCCTTACCTAGTCCCTTGCTTGGAAAGGGATTGCACAGCATATGTATGGTTGGTCGAATTGCAAAGGGACATGTCGCAACACAAGCGCTATTGGAGCCCCTTAGCCAATAGAAAGGGTGGGGGCATGCCGAATCACCCATGCCTGTTCAGGCTATCCTTTTACAATGTATGGAATAGGAATATAGAATAGCCAGAGCCGATCACTGCAGGTGCATTTGGTGTGTTGCACGAGCGCGGCGTCAGGAAAAATCCCAGCCGCATGCGATAGAGGCCCGATGACACGCCTAACATAGCATTCGTGCGGTTGTCAAGTGTTTAAACTCCGCTCATGGTAAATCATTCTTCAGCCATCCCAGCCTAAGCCTCACCTCCCCCTGTTCAGCATGACTCCCTTTTGCAAACCTTGTAATAAGTCTTTCAAGCAGGAGGCGGACCTGCGACGACACCTTCGATACTCCCCTCTCCATCAGAGTCGGTGCGAAACTTGCGATCGGATCTTCAGTCGAGATGGCCTGCAACAACATCTTCAAACTGCACGAGTCCACCTCACGGGAATGAGCGCAACAGAAACCCCGCTAGACAAGTTCTTCCTCTCGTTTCCGTCATTCGCATATGATCCTTTCTTACCACCTGCAACGTCGTATAGTCGACTACAAAGACACATGGGATGGCGGAGGGAAAGTGAGGGAAGCGGGGAAGCTTGGCATCAATATCAGAGAGCACTGGAGGAGGAAGTGAAGGTCTGGTTTGGAAAGGAGGACGACCTGAATTCGTGGCACACTCTCTGTGGGACCATTGGAATCAAGCAACTTCCGCCGACTATTGCGGCGTGCCGAAGTGTCCGTAACCCGAGAACGTACCGATTGATTATGCACGACTGTCAACTAGCTAACAAGTTGTCGCAGGTTGTTCGGAACACGCACGTCAACATCGTCGATCTAATCGAGTGGGGGAGACGAGGCTCAGGGGAAAGAGGTGTGCGAGTATTCAGGAGCCAGGAAGCACTATGGGAATATACAACGAAGGAGAGGAAAGTATTCCCGCAGTCCTCGGTCAGGAACGACGATGGCGAGACAAATGTTGTTCTTCGACATTTGCTCCGGCACCTTCGTCTGTGAGGGTAGCTATCCGAGGGGGGGGGGTTTCCTCGGGGTGGTCAGGGGATTTTGCAAGACGCGGGAATAGCGATTGGGGAAAACGCCGTGCTACACTGCCACTGTGTGGCTCTGTTGGTGCACCAATTCGCACATGTGCGGCTACAGACGACGCACTTATCATTCGCAGCTGTCTAGGCGAGTCTATTTGCAGGGCTATCAATTTGCCATGTCCTCCTCTATAGCAATACCATGCTTAACCAAGGTCTGCAATCTGGCCGCAAGCCTTCCACTGTAGAACTCCCACCGCAATACAACCCGACGGATGTCACTAAGACTGCAACAACCTGGCTTTGGGCCACCGGAGTGCACTCAGTCTTGTGCTTCTTCCAATTCGCACGCTGGCACTCGCTAGAGCAGTATTTCGCCGTGCGACATTTAGCGCAAGTGAGAAGGGAACTTCCACCTTCCGCCCGGTCACGATTGCAGACACGACAAGCATCTCCAATGACTTCGAGAGTACGCCGCTGGTACCGTCATGGGTCTCGTCCACATGGGGGCACGTGAACAACGGAGAGATGGCAACCCGAACAACTTGCTTGGAAATGACGCGCCAGTTGGCACCACCCGCCATAAACCGGTCCTGAAGCACACCGTTCCCACATCTGCAGAGAACTGGTTCGCCCACTTCCACCGACAGCGGGACCCGGCCCTGGACGGCGTACTCGCAACTAGGCCGGTGTTCCCACGTGCGGCAGCGCTCGACCCACGCCGGCAGCACGTTCTTCCAGAGACGCGGCTCCGCGTCGTCGACGCTGATCATGCCGAGTCCGGGGTCCGGCGGGGCAGGCAGGTGCTCGTCGATCTGGGGCGTCCGCTCGCGGTCGATCGGCAGCACCGCGGCGTCGAGGACCAAGGTGCGATTGGCGAGATCGAGGCGAAGGCCGGACACGAAGACGAGCATCTGTATGCCCCCGCCGGCAAAGTTGTTTATGCCGAATGTGTGCGCCTTGTGGGCCCCCGGTAATCCTGCAAAGTCTCTGAACAGTGTGAGCAGCGAGGCTTTGAAGTTGGCGCGGGTTCGCTCCCCCTCCAGGCTGGGCAGCGAGGGGTCCATACGCAGGGCCTGCTCGCGCTTGGAGTACATGAACGGGACGTGCTGGTCTAGCCACTTCAGTTTTCTCGGCTGCGAAGTATTGAGGAGGGGCAGAGCTTGCAGGTTCAGATGAGGTAGGTTCCAGGGTATCGGGGTGCGATTGTCGAGAAGCACGGGATACATGAAGGAATGGAGAGTCTTTTTCCAGGCCTCGGCAACCACGGGTGCAAGGACCTCGACATAGCCGGAATTCCGAGAAAGTAGAATCTTGCATTTGGACTCCATGACAGGGATAGGAAAGTCCAGTTTGAGAGGCGACGCCTTGCCAACGGAAATAAGGAAGTTGAAGGGTGACAGGGAAACCGACCGTATTCGACAGCCGACAGCAAGGGCTGACTTCAAGTCATCGGAAAAGATGTCGAGGCGGCCTATGAGGGAGGCTATTCTCCCCGTGGCTGGGTCGGCGTTGGCAGTGACGACGGTCCTGGCACCCGGATTCGAGAGAGCTGCGACATCCTTGGTGGCAAACCCAGAGCCAAACATGACTCCGGCCTGGTTCGGGAGATCTTGGCTGATGTGGACGTGCTCTGCGTCCCCAAGACTCGTCACGAAGACCTTCAATTCGGGTCCGAAGCGATTCGCCAACTCCTTCGCAGTCGCAAGTGAGTTCTGAAAACCAAACGATATCTTGGCACTTCGCGGCTCCAATAGCAGCACCGAAGCCGGGGCTCTGAAGGACACGAAGAGTGGAGAATCCCCATGCCAGCCGAGCGGATCATCGGTGATGTGCAGCTTGAAATCGCTGCTGTGTCTGGCGCCGCTGGCCGACAGTTGCCCGAAACCCATCTGAACGGTAGGAAAGAAATTCAGCCATGGTTTAATGGTAGACGCCGAGGAACTTTGCACGAGGCAATGGACAGGGGGCGTGCCGAATTTGATGAAGAATTTGAGAGGGTCGTCGTCGGTGAATGCTGCCAGTATCGCTCTCGGCACCTTCAGGATGATGCAAACCGCGGACGGCATGTTCCTCCAGTCGCGTACATCTCCCGTGGGCGTAGTAATCGGGCCCGTGTTGAAGGGTCTTCGGTGCACGTCGACCGAGTGAACGCCGAGGAGGTGCAAATACAGGTAGAGTTCCTGGAGGTAGCCCACTTCCAACGGGAGCTTATTAGAATTGCTCTCGATGAGCCCCACGAGAATATCCATGGTCTTCTCCCAGTCGACGGTGACCCGGCTCTTGACTAGGCAAAGCAGCGATGCAAAGACTGGCCTGTTGTAGAGTTGCGGGAAAAAGAGGCTCTGAAGCTTCGAGGCAAAGCTTTGTGACCAGCCTGCGCCGTGAAACATCTGTAGGTAGATACGGTGTAGGACCTGTGCTAGACCACTCTCATCAAAGCGGAGGGGCTGCAGCGGTGTCGGCGATCCTAGCCCTGCGCGCTGCGAAATCGGTCGTTTCCATGTAGTCCTGACGAAAGCATGGCCACCAACAAGCTTGTTGCTGTCCTTGGAAGCTGCAGCGTCGAGAATCTTTTCACCTCCGGACACGAAGGAGGCATTTGTCCAGTACTCAACCGGAACCAAGCCGAGGAGAACCGCCACAGTTGGGAGGTGACCGCAGAGCAGAGTGTCGACCGGTTTCGGATGTATCTTGCTCGTCTTCGCTATCGAGTCCGTGTAGAGACTGGCCGATGAGCAACCATTCAAGAGCGGTGATGCTGCTACCAGCAGGTTGAGAGCGCCAATGCGGTCGGCGAGGTTTGACGTGTCGATGACTGCGAAAGAGAGCGGCGCAGAACCCCACGGGATGTAGTCATCACCGTCAAGTGTGAGCGGATCGAGGTGATGTTGGTCGCGATACCAGTGCGCAGAGGTGGCAGTGGTTGTGGCGCGACGATGTTGTAGGGTGTAGGAAAACGCGAGGGCGTCTCCAGCGAAAACTCGCATTGTGAAACTTCCTGGGCTGCGGCTTCTAAACGAATCTGACCATGCCCGGAATTCTGCACGGGCAGCGGCGACGATGTCTTCTTGCAGGCGAACCACGGGAGATGCGGCGTCCAGCGGGGCATAGGCGGTGGAGAGGTGAAAACCAAGAATGGGATCTGTTCCGTAATGGAGCATGGCGTCGTTGTCCGGAGAAGCAAACATGGGGTCACACGGACAGCTTGCGAGACAGCCTTGCGATCAATATCGGTGGTGCCATGTTCCCAGAAATGTTGGTGCAGATCATTCAAGTCCTCCAGAAGTCTGCCGGAACAAACCGGTGCACCAGATCGGAGACTGGTCAGAATCCCTAGCGAGCCTTTATGTTCGTTGGACCTCTTGAATCTGGAGCTCTGAATGCTGGACCTGAAGCTGGTCTTGAAGGCGGACTGCTGGTGACCCTTCCTCTCGGTGGAGTAGAAGTCCCAAATCTGGCGGACCTTGTCGAGGGTGCCAGAATCGCAAAACCTGATCTGCTTCCATTGCTCTTGTCCCAGGCTGCCATGGATGATGACAGGCCATGGAGTTTCGTTGCCTGTGCGCGGAGCACGTCGAGGCGATGTTGATCGAGATACATGTGGTAGTAGATGTTCCAGTTGTCGTCGTTCTTCCGACCGTTTGAGTCATCGAGGATTGACGTCAAGAGGATGATGTTGCGAGCTTTCTCAGTTAGCTCAAAGTTCTCTGCAAACGAAATAGGCACCCAGAGAAGGAACGTCATACCCAAGACTGCCCTCTCGACATCGCAGCAAGTGATGTCCATCTGACGAACTGTTTATATGTTAGCAAGTAACTTGTATTCCAGGAGAATCTCGGCTGACCGTCGGTATGAGAAGTGAAGAGGATGTGGCGGACATCTCCACATCCAAGGAGTAAAATATCGGCATGTTTGTCGCGGGGATTAATGCCTTGGGTCAGGCATACGGCGGGAGTATCGCCGATGGGGTCGAATAATTTCAGCACTGTCGCAAGTTGTGGTGTCAACATTGTGAACCGCTCGAGATATGTCGGCTGAAGGAGGTTCGGAGAATTTGTTAGGGAAGTTGGTACGAGGAGAAAGGCGTGGATGGATGGATGGATGGATGATGGAGGATAAAGGATGGATGGTGGATGGGGGACGAAATAAATAGCTGATTGATGCCCCAGGCGGAGATCCTTCCTCCAAGTGATTCCGGGTTTCAGATCCCTCCAGGTGTAAAGCACGCGTTTCTCTCCGCGAGAAGTTTGACAAGACGCGTGCCTTGTCGGTCAAACCATGAGGGTGTTTTGTTTGCTGAGTTGGTTTTGTCCTGGTCAGGCCTGACTATTTGGACAAGTGAATTTGTCTCCACAGACTACATGAGGCACGTGCCCATGGAAGCTACTAGGCCGATTTGGGTGAGGCGGTGGGCCACGGGCCACCTGGGGGATTCAGGCAAGTACGTACCACCTTGCCGCTGCCATCAACCCCGACGGTCCTTTCCAGAACAACCTAGACTCGGACTGATTCCACGTAGCAAGCTCGAAATGCCTTCGACCTCCTTTCTCGGCATTCTTCCGGCCATGTCGTGGGCGTAGCAGCTGCTGGCCCTTCCTCATGCCGTCATTGCTCCACCAACACCGACCCTCTCCGGCTTCTACGTCAATGGGAGCGTCCCCATGAACGACAAACCGTGGACCCATTTCGACGCCATGGGCCCAAGAATTCAACCAGACCAAGGACGAAGACCGATCATTCGAGGGTGTGTCAGCCGATGGACAAAGATGCTATATTGGTCCCTGGAAGAGATATTGGCTGTAACTATCTGCTAGGAATTGCTCATCCCCGGTCATTTCCGAAGAAAGGTTTAGCGCCTCACTGATTGTCTGGTCCTTGTATGGGTCGCCAAATATGTCGCCAATGTGAAAGTCAGTAAGGATGTTGGATCCTTGCGTGCTACTTGGCACCTCCCTGGTGGCCGCTAGATCTTGATCTGGGCCCGACCGCACGTTGTCGTCAGTTGTGGTAGAGAAGGGCCCGTCCCGAGGTTTTCTCCTCTGACTTCGTGCCGGTTCCCGATGCCTCTGCAGCACATTTTTAACCAGGGCGGCGCATTTTCTCGACTGTCCGGAGTTGATATATTCGAATACCTCGATACTCTTGGAGCAGGTTCGAACGTACTCATCTGCTTCCTCCGTCGGACATTCAAAGATGCGCATCATCAGGACGAGAGTCGCCGATAAACAGTAGTAGCAATAGTACCTCCAGCGCCTGTTGCTCGGGTCCTCGGCGAGAAGATGATGGATCAGCACCACGTTTTCCTGTGCTGCCCCCAGGCAAATTGAAACCGACATGTTGGTTGAATAAAGAGGCATCGTTATCTGGCTCTTTCTGAAGAACGGTCGGTGCAACATGACCATGAGGTGGTTGAAATCTGGCCGTGTTGATTAGAGCGAGCCGCCAATAGTCAAGACCCTGGCGATGACAATTATTACTCACGAACTTGAATGCTTTGGCGCTGGCGTTTCACCCACTTCACCGTCTCCCATTGCGGGTTTTCGGGGTCTTGGGAACCTTTGTCGAACTTGAGGTGTGGCGGAAGGTTCTCGCGCCAAGCACACAACTCGACTTGGAGATTCATTAAGCGTCCTGCGAACGGTTGTGCCTCAGAGCCCTCCTCGTTGATTGCCGATATCTGAACCCACGGTTTAATTAGTTGGTGTCTATTTCCTCTAATCGAGTGGGCAGGCTTTTTTTTTACCAAGTCCATAACCTTTCGCATGGTTCGACCAAACTTAGCCATGACGGTGATGAACGTGACTCGGCCGACGCTTGCCAATGGTTCCTGTATGGCTAGTTAGCATGGCAAAAGTAAATGGTGTGTCATCACTGTGGTTACAGGAGAATCTTTTGGGAATGGAGCTTTTGCATCTGCCTCTCGTATCGACATCGGGCGTCCCGAGTCCAGACACTGCTCAGCTTCAATGGTATATAGCATCCACCACGTCCTCGACGCTGCCTGAGCTTGAGCTTGAGCTTGGGCAGTGGTTTTGATACCCGCGGAAGCTCGATTGAGGCCGATCGAGTAAGCGAATCTGATGGCGATACCGATATAGTTATATGCGACTACACCTAGTCAGAACACAGCCAAACAAGGTTCGCTCAGTGGGTCGGTCACATACGATTTGGTTTTAATACACTTTGGGCATAGCACCCCTTCATGCTTGTCAGTTCACAGAGCCTTGAAGTTGGGGTGAGGGACGATAAAATACCATAAACAGGGCCGCTTGGACGGTCTCGATGCTCACAGCGTCGAACAACTTCCCCAGAACTTCCTGAGCTTCGGAGAAGTAACTTGCAGCCCACTCGGCATTGTTCGACCCCGAGTCGGATTTCAGCGCGCCCATGGCAAGTACCGAGTATACCAGGCACTGCCGCTGCTGAGAAGCGAGGCTCTCAGTGTCTAGCGGGGGCGCGTCCCAGAATGCGCGGTAGGCGGTCATGAAGGAATCGACGTCGAGGACGGGCAAGAAGTCGTGGATCGTATCGAAGAAACTGCGAACATGAGCATTGGCAACGTCTTCTCTCAGCTTCCATCTCCTCGTCTGCGGCTGCCAAGGGATAGGGATGAAGTCGTTGTGCTCAAAGAGCCCGTCCAGCTCGAGCGAGGACGTCTTCGTGGCGGGGACTGGCTTTTTGGATGGCGGCTCGTGTATATGGTGTTCTCCTTCAAACTCCCGCAGCCGGTTACCCAGAAACCGGGCTAGTGCTAGGATGGAAGTGCTGCCATAGAACTCAACCGAGCACGTGCTGGTGTTGAGAGTCATGACCGACTCAAACCATGGCTCCGGGGCGTTGAAGCTGCGACCATTACTGCGGCTTCCACCCGCATTGTTCGGGTCTGATGCCTTGTACGTTAGCTCGCTAAACACGGCGTGTTCGAGCTCCAGTAGCCGCTTGTTAAACCCGTCAAACTCTCTGCGACAAACACATGTCAGATACATATACGCTGGCTCCGAGATGCTAAGGGGGAGCAGGCATACGCGGTCAATTTGTTCGCCGACGTCGACGGATCGTAAACACATCGAAGGTTGTTGTGAGTACATGATTTGCAAGGACTAGCCCCATCGCACTGGTGGAATTAACTGTGGTCAACATCTACAAGTACTTCAGGAGGAGTGGACAACCTGGCTCAGGAAGATACCTTGGATTTTCGTGCTCGGCAAGGGTCACAGGCCTCCACCGTCTTCTTTCGCTGGCTCACAGGCGCGAGGAGTTTCCGTTGCTCCATAGCAGTATTTCGACATACAAATGCTTCAAGAGAGCAGGAAAGACCTAGCAAAACAGAGAGAGAGAGCTTCGAAGCAAGGTCAACTTCCCTATCTTGGATGCTTGGCAGGGCGCGGATTGACCGGGGCTGGAGGAGCCCCCGGGCCGAGGTACGGATACGCCGCCAAGACGCCAAAGAGGCTGGCCTAAACGCTAAGGAGACTCCACTCAAGTAGGCCCCCAGCAGGAAGTACATACGGCACCATGCGGGTCCCCCCCGCAAACTCACCCCGCAAACCTCCCTCATTCAAAAGCCCGGCAATTGTTATGTTCAAGAATTGGTACCGTCGGCAAGTAATGACGGGAGGGAGGTCTAGACCCATCCCTGCACCTCCCCACGGCTTAAGGCTTGGCGTGGGAACCCACCCGCCGGAATCTCCGCGAGCCAAAGAGTATGTCCTCATGAATTGTAGCTAGTCAATGGCTGTCGTATTGTGTTCAAACCGTGTATAGGGGTTTGGAATCTCGATGATATAGAAATGATTCTTCCCCAGTGCGTATCCGGAGCGTGCTCTTCGGAGAGATTCGCCAGTCCTGTATTACTCCTCACATTACTTCAAGATGGCACAGACTGACATGGCCCACGACATCGCCCAAGACAACGCGAAAGGGACTCGCGGCAGTGTGGAGTATGTTGAAAAGGCCGTTATCCACGGGGACCACCACAAGAAGGCGGATGCCTTCGTCACTGGCACCAACCTCCCACCGATCGACCCGGTGGCAGAAAAGGCGCTGAACAGGAAGCTCGACATCTGGGTCATGCCTCTTCTAACGCTTAATTTCATGTTTGCATATGTCGACAGGTGTGTTCATTCGCAGCCAGACCACGCAGCGGTATGGAAGGAGAGAGAGGCTTACTTACTTTTCTTGCAGGTCAAACCTAGGGAACTCCAAGATCATTGGGTTGGAGAAGGACCTTGGGATGGAGGGATACGACTTCAACTGGGCGTCCACCGCATTTGTGAGTGTCCTGAGAGCGACAGGTGCTCTTAATTTCCACCTCCAAGTTCGAGTAGTTAACCTTGTTCCACATGCAGTATTTTACGTACATTCTCATCGAGTTGCCCGCCAATATGGTGTTGAAGAAAATCGGCGCCAAGATCTTCCTCCCTGCCCTTTGCGCCTGCTTTGGCATTATTACCCTGTCGACTGCCTTTATCCACAACTTCCAAAGCCTCGTGGCGATGCGGCTGCTCTTGGGCCTTGCTGAGGGCGGCCTCTTGCCAGGATATGCTTACTATCTATCGTCTCTCTACCCCCGTTACGAGCTTGGCGGTCGAGTTGCAGGGATGATGACTGCATCGCTCCTTTCTGGGTTTCTAGGCGGCTTCCTAGCCCTTGCCTTTGGCAATCTCCGGCCTCTAGGAATCCTCCATACCTGGCGCCACATCTACTTCTTCGAAGGCATTATCTCTCTATGCCTTGCGGTTGTGTCATATATCGTCTTTCCAAAGGATATCGAAAGCGCCTGGTTCCTTTCCGCCCAAGATAAGGAAGTTGGTCTTGAACGCCTCAGACGCCAGGAGTTGACAGATCCATCGACAACCATCAAGAAGAAGCACATTGTGCAGGGAGTAAAGAATATCAACAACTGGATCGCCGCTACTATCTTCTCCATTATCAATGTTCCTGTGCAATCCTGCATCTTGTTTCTCCCCTCAGTAAGCAATTTGTTGCTGTCAGATTCGTTCCTTATTATTACCACTCAAGTGAGACTAACATCTTGTGCCCAATTTTAGATTATTCACTCCATGGGCTATACCTCTAGCAAAGCTCAGATTATGTCTGGTGCACCATTCCTGGCTGGTACAGCCATGTTGGCTCTGCAGGGATATCTATCAGACAAACTACGACGCCGGGGCCTTGTTATCTTGATCTGTGTCCCATTTCTAGCGGTTTGCTTTATGCTCCTCTTGATTTTCACCCTTGGCGGACAACATCTGCTCGACATCCCTGGGCTTCGCTATATGGCGTTATTCATCGGCGTAACGTTTGGCACCGGTGGTGGACCCATCACCCTAGCTGTATGTTGCCTCTCCTTACTCCCACTCCTCATCCCTTCTTCAAACCCTCCCCACCTAACTAACATGGCCCGCCTCCTTCTCTACCACTAGTGGGCAATGAACAACAGCCCCAACCCGGGCGTACGCGCCGTCTCCACGGCTATTATTATCGGCTTTGGCACTATTGGCTCGTTCATCGCATCCTGGACCTATACGAACAAAGAGGCGCCGCTGTACGTCACAGGGCATGCCATCAACATGGGCTTCTCGGTCACTGCCGTCGCCCTGATTGCCGTCTACTGGTGGTACTGCAGCTGGGAGAACCGACAGCGGGACCTGGGCAGGCGGGATTATCGCCTGCTTGATCTCTCGCAGGAGGAGATTGACGACCTTGGACATCGGCATCCTGATTTTCGATATGCGTCGTGAGGTGATCACAGGGGTATGCCATTCTGTGGTGCACGTGGGTGCTGTTTCTTGGGCGATAGTGTGATTATCTATTGGCTAGACGTTCGGGACTCACGGGGATTTGGTCATTTCACTGCCGATGAGAAAGCATTCTATTACTATAGTTACAGATAGATCTACAAGTGAATTTACGGTCGTGGTGACGCTAGAAACCTGGCTTATGCCAACTTGTTTGCATGCTTAAAAGTACCATGGGCATGGTATGTTTCTAGCCGTATCTGCTTTATGGGCATGGTGGACCACGGCTGGGTAGACAACCAGTTTGGCCTCGGCAGGGGCCGTGTATTTGGTGCTCTCGCTTGGCTGGGGATAAATGAAGGGCAGCAACGGAGAAGCGCCGGGAAGACAAGTAGAGAGGTGAGGAGGACTAGGACCCTATCTAGGCTGAGATTTTTGAACTGCCGCCTGTTCGAGACGCCACGTTTCTGAGTGGTCGTTCATGTCTTCTCACATCAACCTTGACCACCCTGAGGGAGAAGAGTAAAAGTAAATCGTAATACTGATGGGAAAGCTGATTGAGCAGATGGAGAAATCTAGTGTGAGCTAGGTAGGTAGTTGCTGGTACTTTTGTGGGGGGCACCGCAGCCTGACGGAATCTCCGCGAGCCCCTGGACCAGGATTCCGGGTTGTTGGCTGTGGAGACGGGATCCACACTCGCTTTCAAGCTCGTTGCGAAGGCCCTACCTGGACTAGACCTCTGGGTCTTGACCCATCCCTCTGGCCTACCCCATTGTCTCCTCTTCTGACAATTTAACAACAGTGCAAAGTGGTATAGATGAATATGTGTAAAATATAATCGCTAGATACACACTACGCGAAAAGATACCCACCACGCCCCGGTCGCTTCCGTAAGTATACGTTAAGACCGGTTTGTCTGACGAACCAGTAATTATGGAGCTCCCACGACGCCTTGGGGTTCTCGAGCTCGAGCTGCTCGTACATTTAGCGGCGTCGGGGTTCAGTGAAGGGAGAGAAACATACCTCGAAGGCCCACAAGAGTTGCGGGACGATCTTGGCCATCTCAAGCATCGAGATGTGCCGGCCTATGCACGTGCGAGCCCCGGACCCAAACTGAGAAAGTCAATTATCAGGCCTGCCAATAACACCAGGAATGGAGTGAGGGAGTTAGACGCTCTTACAGCCAAAAAGGACCTGTCCATGACTTTCAATGTCTCCGCGTCGGCTTCGAGCCACCGCTCCGGCCGGAACACGTCGGCGTCCTCGCCATACACTTGCTTGTTCCGATGCAGCACCCAGGGATCGATACCAACGGTCGTACCCTCGGGGAGCCAGGTGCCGGCTATCTTGCATCCCCCACTGGGCACTAGCCGCTCCAAGAGCAGCCCCACGGCTGGGTGAACACGCATTGCTTCTTTTAGCACCGCCTGCAGGTAAGGCATTTTGTTGGATTCGGCAAACGAGATGGGCTCTTGCAAGCAATCTCTCCCGTCGACGGCGCTGTCGATCTCCTCCACAACCTTGCGTAGCGTCGGGGGATTCTTCAGCAGGTGGTAGAATACAGACCGGAGGGAGATGGCGGTGGTGTCGCTACCCGCGAAGATGTTGGTCACGCTGTACGAGGTGACCTGGCGATCGTTCACCAGGTCCGGATGCTCTTCCTTGGCCTTCAGGAACATGTCGAGGAAATCCTGCCTCTCGGAAGGGTGTGCGAGCCGGTCGTTCACAAGGTCAAGTGTGAATTTGACGACGTGATTTGAAGGCATCATGCGGACTGCGATCGGACTTTTGACGAGGAATTTGTCCAGAATTGGTATTTGCCCGCACTGTTCGTTCCTTGGGTGAGCATTTGCTGCATCAAATCCAACGGAGGGGCATCGCATCCGTGACTTAGTTACTAACCCACGCAAAGTAGTTCAGCCTCCATTCAAGATCCTTGATGATGCCGCCGACATCGCTGCCCGTCTCCAGGAAGCCGAGGCGCTTACTGAAGGTCATCTCTCCGCTGAAATGATGTTAGATGTCGACACTGCAAGAAACCAGGCTCAAGATGCTGTTTCAATTCTTACATGACATCGAATGCATAGTACTGCAGCCATGTGCCCAAGTCACAGGCCTTCCCCGTGTCTCCATAGAGCTCATTCAGTCTCTGCAAGAACACCCTCGACGTGGTGTCGACAAATGGTTCGTACTTGAGCAGGGTGGTCATGCTGTATGCGTTCGCGATTGGCCGCCGGATGGCCGCATGGAAGTCTTCATTACGGGTGTTGAACAGATTCTCCAAGGGCCTTCCTTGGCTAAGGCTCTGTTGGACTGTGTAGAAGTCTGTCTGTGAAAACCTGTCAGTTGGTTGATCACCAAGCGCGCGCAACTCAGCGCGTGGGAAGGATCGGACTTTGATGAAGCCGGATTTCAATCCGTATATGATCCTCACGGCCTCAGGATCCGCCACAGACACGGCGTTGGGGCCGATCCTAACGAGCTTCGACTGGTACTTTCGATGCAAGTTGATCAGGGTGTCATGGTGGTTTCCTCGCGCCACGTCTACCAAACGCCATAAATTCGTGACAGAGGCGATGAATGGCCCTGGTAGAGATCGCAATCCGGGCTTGTAGCAGGCCCTGACACGGTTGCCCAAGAGGAGGAGGAGGAGCAGAAGGGGGATAGCAAATGACAACCCCCCAAAGGGAATATTGGATGCTTGGTAAAAATTAAGAATCATGATGCAGTCGTGTGTGTACAGAGAGACACAGCAAGCGTCGGCGATGCAACTGAGCCGAAGACAAACAGAGGCAGGTTGGTTTTGATGTTATTAGCATCCATGTTGCGCCAAGGCTATGCATGTATGTATGTATGTATGTATGTATGTATGTATTTACCTCATGTTCCCACATACACGATAGAACGGTCGCGGAGATTCCGATTGGTGCCCATCTGGTGGATCCGTACTCGGCACAGCTTCGGGTATCGGGTTTACGGGGCTACGGAAAACTTTCGCGTGCAACCAAGTTCTCCACCTGATTCAAATTCCAAGGTCGATCAATCCGGCACGATGAAGCTCTCAGATGGCTACCGTCAAATCCAAGACTCACCTTGCATGCGACACGTGTCGGCAACGGAAATCGAGATGCGACGGCATCCGTCCTAGCTGCAGCCACTGCAGGGTTGCGGGTCGGGAGTGCACTTACCGGCCCACGCCGACGAACCTAGAGACGTAGGGTTGCATTTGCATTTGTACCTGCAGGGATTGAAGCCCGCTCTGATCATCTGACATTGCCATGCAGTGACGTCTCGGTCCTCTCGCGCCTCGCAGGCGTCGAAGCCCGCCTCCAGGCCATTGAGGGCAGGGGTCGGGGCACACCAGACCGGGGTGGGGGGTCGCATGCGGACGGAACCACGACAGCGGGGCCGGCAGGGAGCCCGAAACCACCGTTGCTCAGCACCGCCCCCGATCTCCACACCGCCTCGGCCTACAAGATGCTCCACTACTGGCCCAGGATCCGCCTCAACCTCACCGCCCCCGGCATTGTGTCGACGTCGTATCTGGCCGAGGCCGATGCTGCGGACCCGGTCCTGCTGCAGACGCCCACGTCCGGCCCCGATCCCCCGCAGCCCCCTCTCTGGCAGTTGGTCCGGCTCGTCGAGGAATTCTACAGTAGCTCCGTCGAGAAATTGCCGGTTTGTATCCTGGAGGTGTTCGATTCCTGCCCGGCCTTGGGTGTCCATTACGTGCTCAACGGCCTGGCGCAGCTTTATCCTCCCGACGCCGTCTCACAGCATTCTGCGACGGTTGATCTTCATAGGCTTTCGATCGCACAGCTTCTGGTTGTGTCCCTGGCCAAGAGATCGTCGAATGATAGCGCCATGCAATCCGATTCAGCCACAACGGCAATCTCGGCCGTCTCCTTCACGATCGCTCTTCAGAAACAATGGATGCTGATGTCCAGCTCGGATGAGGAACGGCTCCCCTTGGCAATACTCGCGGCATACTGTCTGTTTTACTACTGGGCGCGGCCCTTTCATGCTCTCGGTCTATTGCAGTCTGTCGACCCGGCCATCAAACGCTACTCGCTCCGGCATCCAGATGACTCGTAAGGGCGCATGTGAATACCCCGGACGGGGCATGTCTTTTTCTAACTAAATGCGGATAGACTAGTGTGTCGCTACTCCAGACTGCACTTTATCCTCGAGAGGTAAGGACGGAATCCCAAGCTATTCGAGATTCAAGTCATTTTGGCTGACGGTGCGATGGCACAGTGACATTCTAACGGAGATCGACGGCTTCCCATCCAAAACATGCGTGTCACTACTGGGTGACCACCCTCAGAGCTCGCTCCCCTTGCCAGCGAGCCCCGACAACTCCCTAACGGGCGATCAAGGGACGTCGTCGGCGGTCGGGAACTATATCGAAAGCCACATGTGGTTGAGGTGCTACCTGAACCGGACCCTCCACCTCCTCTACGGCACCAACAAGGCGTACGCGCAGCCCCACGAGCTCGCGGACATTGTCTGCAGCCTGTCCGCCGAGCTGCGGCAATGGTACCAATCCCGACCCCTCGGCCAGCAATTTGTGCGCGACGCGACGACGCTGAGGATGAACGTCCCGCCCGTGTCGCCCCGCCTTGTAAGTCAACATCATCATCATCATCACATCACCGCCCATGCTCTGCGTCCAGGTCTTCTAACCAGCTTCCTTTGGAACCGAAGAGGGAAATCGCGCTGCGATACTTCTCGTGCGTGTTCCTCCTCCACCGCCCGGTCCTGTACTTCTTCCTCCACAAAGACATGGAATACACCGTGCGGCCACCCGACAACCGGACGCTGCACTCGGACCGCGAGCCCTGGGTCCTGGAGTCCTGCCGGGACTGCATTGAGAGCGCCGCGCTGCTGATCCATTTCGCGTACATCCCGATCGAGTTGGGCAACAACGGCGGGGTGGAGAGGTCGTACCGCAGCTGGGGCGAGGTCCAGCTGCTGTTTGCCGCGTACCTGGTGCTTCTCCAGGTCAAGTCCGTCACGGCCCTGTTCCCGATATTTCGCAACATTGGAGACTTGGATGAGCTGCTGGATAGGGTGGAGCGGGTATTTGAGGCGTTGCCGGTGGAGTCGCTCAAGGTTCACAGGAGCTTGGTTATCTTGCGGAATGAGCGGCACAACTTTGAAGTCTCGTCGCCGGGATATTCGATTGGTTCGGTTTAAGCGCCTGGCCTGGCCGTATTATGTCACTTTGTGGGCGCACGGGTTTTGTTCTTCTGGCTGCAAAGAAGGAGTTGGATACGAGGCGGGGAATATATTATGGGAAGCACATGTCATGGCCTTTGACTGGGAAATCTAATTAATTATCTGGCCCTCTAATCTCCATCTGACTATACACCGCCAGGTAATGTTACATGCCAACTCATTAGACCTTTTCAACCTCGGCAGACGCGCCACTGGGAGATGCTCTCTCATTCTCGACAACCTTCTCGTCCTGGAGCTCGGGAAGATCGGTGAACTGGTGATCCCTCCACTGGCGGACGGGGATCTTGTCAATGAAGAACCGTTCCAGCTCGTAGTTCGTCCGGCCCGTGGTCTCGCCCACGCAGAACCAGACGTACGCCAGGGTGATGATGGTGGTGCCCGAGTAGATGAAGCCCAGCATGGGCCCCAGGTTGGCCGAGTAGTACAGGTAGGGCGACGTGAAGGCGATGACCCAGACGGTGAAGAAGAAGGAGACGATGGAGCACGACATGATCTTGTTCCTGTTGCGGCCGACGGCCATCTCGGACGCAATGGTGAAGGCGAGCGGGCCGAGCGAGAAGTTGAAGCACACGATGACGACGTACGAGAAGACCACGATGGCGGTGCTGATGCCCGTGGGGAACTCGCGCTTGGTGCCGAGCCCGCCGACGACGATCAGCGCGCCGAAGATGCCCACGCTGCAGGCCAGCAGGTTCTTCCGCCGCTGGATGCGGTTGCCGAGCAGGACCGCCGCGGCCACCGAGATGACCTGCAGCACGTTGGTGATGAGCGAGATGGTGAAGGCCTCCTTGATGCCGAGCGACTGCGCGAACACGACGCCGTACGAGTAGAAGAACTGGATACCGTTGATCTGCTGCGCCACCATGGCGCCGCACGAGTAGAGCAGCTTGCGCCGCTCGATCGGTTCCTTGAGCAGCGACGCCCAGCTCGACTCGGCCTCGTTGGCCTGCTCGCGCCTGACGGCCTCGTCGAGGACCAGGAGGTCGTGCGCCGGGTCGTAGCCCTCCATGCTCCGGTTGATCTTCTTCAGCGCGACCTCGGCCTGCTGCGTCCGGCCTTTCATTGCGTACCATGTCGGGCTCTCGGGCGTGAATGGAAGCATCAGCATCATCAGACCGGGAAGCAGGATGAGCAGGCCCATGGGGATGAGGTACGAGTTCTTGTTGGGGATCGACTCGGTGCCCTGTGTGATGCCGGAGCCGACCAGCTGCGAGCACGACTGCATGAACTGGAACATCATCAGGGCAGGCCCGCGGATGGCCAGGGGCGCCACCTCGCCGATGTAGAGTAGGCTGGTCACGGTGAACTGGCCGATGCCAAGACCGATGAGGATGCGGCCGAGGATGATCAGCCCTTCGATGCCGTGCGACGTCAGCTGGACGATGGCCCCGGCGATGATGCATGTCGAGGCGCAGTAGAAGACCGCCTTCCGGCCGAAGTAGTCGTTGATCGGGGCGGCGAGGAGGGCTCCACTTGGCACAGAGTTAATAAAACAGTCTCCCTTGTAAGTTCATCTCCACCAACAGATTGCCGACTTACAGTAATTCGCCGACATAGATGATCGACGCAGTGAGGGAGACGAAGGATGTCGTGAGTGCAGTCAGGCCGTCCGAGTCGGTCGTGGTGCCGAACTCGTTGATAAAAGGCCGCATGCCCAGGAGGCCCGTGTAGTAGATCTGGTCATATCCGTAACAGAGGGCCCCGAACGTCGAGACGCCGCAGTAGAAGATGGCCCATTTGTGGGACCGGAAGTCGATGCTTAATCTGCCCATTTTGGGAGACTTGATGGAGAGAGGATGAAGCCGGATGAGTTGCTGGTAAGGGCTACAAAGGGAAGAGAGAAGGAAAAAGGGGGGTGGCTTGGGAGATCCAGTGGCCAGGCGTTTGTCTGAGTTCGCGAGAGGGCTCGTTATATATCCATGAAGTGAAGGCCGGGGTTGTCGAGTAGATAAGAGGCGTCTATTGAACCCCGGTTGTATTTTCCGATCGAGACCATGCAGGCTTTGCCATGTGGGAGACCAGCAGCCCCGGATTCTGGCTAAGAGAACAGCATGCAGGCGACAAGGGGCAAAAAGCAAAAGGTGGTCTGATGATGTTCTTGGAATCGGAGCAACGAAATGACTCGACAGGAGTCATCCTCTGGATCTTCTGGGGTACACATGCGAGCTGGGGTATATCTTGGGGTAGATGGGGATGGCAGTGGGTGCCGAGTTCGTGGCACTTTTCCACCAAGTGGGCCAGGGCTGACGAAGAAAAACCCATTAGTTCCAGCAGACGGGCACTTTAATTGGCTGCATCGATATCCTCAACACCCTACTGATCTTTGGTTGGGAACTAGTGAGGGTTGTGGATCTCACGCCTCGGGGGAGTCGCCGTCGGAGGCTCCCCCGTCAACAAGTCCCGGTGGTGGGGATGGAAAGAAGATGGACGTCTTGGCAGAATGTCGCAAACGAGCGATCTCACGCTCATGGCATATTCAGAAACTAGTAGTCTCGCGAAAACGAAGACCTCTTTCGTGTTTCCCGGTATATTTGACAACCCCCTTTTTCCTGTATCCTCGGTTCTGCCCCTAACTACCAAATTACCGGGACGAAGAAAGAAAGCAGACACTCCAGAATGGCAACCGCAGGTCTTCAGCAGCTTCAAGCTGCAGGTACGGTTTTGATCGCCGACACGGCTGACTTCGAAAGTATGCGCATTCTCCCCAGTTGGGGGCTCCGGATGATTAGTCGCTAATGTGTATATCGGAAACAGAAATCGCCCGCTTCAACGCCTCCGAGGGAACGACGAATCCAAGCCTCCTATATGCCGCTGCCCAAAGCCCCTCGTACGCGAACCTGATCGCCGACACCGTCTCGTACGCAAAGGCCCTCCCGGCGTCCGTCTCAGCAGCCGAGCGCCTCTCCGCAGCGGTCGATTTCCTCGCCGTCCAGTTCGGTACGCAGATCCACAAGCTGACGGGCAAGGTGAGTACCGAGGTCGATGTCGCTCTCTCGTTCGACACGCCCGCCACTGTCGCCTCGGCGCTGCGCATCATCGACCTGTACCAGCGGCAGGGCGTGCCAAAGGAGCAGGTCCGGATTAAGATCAGCGCCACTTGGGAGGGCGTCCAGGCCGCTCGAATTCTGCAAATGGAACACGGTATCAGCTGCCTGGTGACGGTGGTTTTCGGCTTGGCCCAGGCCATAGTTGCTGCGGAGGCCGGTGCCGACGCCGTCGCGCCGTACGTCGGCCGCATTGCCGACTGGGGCAAACTGCACGGTGCCGAGGGAGACCTGGGCGTCGATACAGTGTCCAAGATCCAGAACTACCTGAGGAAGTACGGTTTCCAGACCAAGGTCATGGCTGCCAGCTTCAGGAACGTGGACCAGGTTCGAAATTTGGCTGGCATCGATCTGCTCACCGCAGCGCCTGCCATTCTCGAGGCCGTCGAGAAGGAGACGGAGCCCATTGTCCCCAAGCTGACACGGGAAAGCGGTAAGAAGCCCTTGCTTTGCTTGCAAAACATTACGAGGGGCAGCGACTAACATGTCTATGTCTATAGCCCAGGCTGCGGACTTGCCAAAAGTCTCCTACATCAACAGCGAATCGTCGTTCCGGTGGGCTTTCAACAGCGATGCATGTGCGGTGGAGAAGTCGGCGGAGGCTATGAGGAAGTTTGGAGAGGACACGGATAGATTGAAGGCGCTTCTCGCGACCAGACTTTGAGCAGCCATTCAGATTTTCATGTGTTATTACTTCCTTCGTCGTACCTATTTAAATTACCTAGATAAAGATAGATGACTGAAATTCCAGCAAACAATTCTAGTGTACCTACCTTGGTGGAAATCGTGTGTGACTGTGGACCGTGCTACGTCATCGTGAAACAAATGTGCCGTGTTGACCATGGTCGAGACCCAGAGGACGGAATGGACCTGTAAGATTATCCTTTGCGGCCCCTGATTCCACTGCATTATTGGGGTATTCATGGATTCTCCGATTCCTCCCATGGGGAAGAAGGTCGACTCCTTAGGCCGTGGCATGCAAATGAGACGAGCTAAGAGCTTGTCTTTGGTTCACGAGTCAAGATGACCACTAGTTGCTTCCGGGCACTTGTCAAAATCGGCTCGGCACATCCGTCGGAGCATCCCCCGAAAGCTGAGCAGCCCTCACTTCCGAACATTCTCCACATCTTCACCGTGCTTGTGTGATCAAGTCCCCTGGTTGACATATAAGATTGTGACCGATCGGAATGGCTCAGTCTCTTGACCATGTGGCTTCGGGGGATCCTCCGATATCGAGCCCATGTGATCTCCCGTATCGGGTCTTCCGGTGGGCGGCGAATCACAACCTCCCCACACGTATTATGGCCAAGTCCACTACCAAATACACCAACCACATCCTGGTTTCTCCATTCTCAGCTCTGGCGATCTGGATTTAACGGCCTCCTTCTCCTCAGCCAAAGTCATCTCACTATCTCACTCCAGTGCAATAGCATTCCTCTTCTGTTCATTACTCCGTGATCCTTGTGCCCTGGGAACACTCTTACCCTCACATATCTATCCATTTACCTCGACACCATGTCGTACATAGTCGGCCTCAACAGCGGCTCATCTTTTGATGGCGTCGATGCCGTCCTCTGCAAAATATCCCTCGCAGAGGACGGTCACCCAGCTCGGCCAGAGTACATCGACGGTCTGACGGTCGATTGGCCACTGGAGTTGCAGCCCCTCATCCTCCGCGCATTCGACAACGACCTCACCATCTTTGAGATGACAAGACTAAATTACGTTGCTGGTGCCCTCTACGCAGAAGCAGCCAACTCCATCATCAAGAAGAACAACCTGAAGCCCCAAGACGTACACGTCATCGGGTACGACGGCCAGACCATCTACCAGGAGCCGCCAGATCGCGTCAAGGAGCGCAAGTACGTGCAGAGCGGCAACAAGAGCCTGGTAGACCTGTGGTTGAAAGGCGGCTACGCCTGTGGCTTCTTCATCGCCGAGTCCGGCGTGGTGGCCGCCCTGACAGACGTGGACACGGTGACGCAGTTCCGGCCCATCGACCACGCCCTGGGCGGCTCGGCCGCCCCGCTGATGCAGTACCTGGACTTTGTCTCGTTCCGCAACGACGGGCCGACCGTGACGCTCAACATCGGCGGCATCGCCAACCTGCAGCTCGCCGACGCGGACCGCAGCAAGATGATGGCTTTCGACACGGGCCCGGGCAACGTCATGATGGACCACGTGGTCAAGGCCCGGACGGGCAAGGCCTACGACGCGGACGGCGCGCTCGCCGCCCGGGGCCGGGTCATCGGCCCGCTGCTGGACGAGCTCCTGACGCACGGCTTCTTCGCGCGCCAGCCGCCGCGCTCGGCGTGGCGGCTCGACTTCGGCGCCGCGTACGCGGACCGCATCCTCGAGCGCCACGCCGCGTCGTCGACCGAGGACGTCCTGGCCACGCTGACGGCCTTCACGGCCCGGTCCATCGCCCGCAGCCTCGCCGACTTCATCCTGCCGCGCACGCCCGTCGTGCGCGTCATCGCGTCGGGCGGCGGCACGAGGAACGCCACGCTGATGAGGGACCTGCGCGCCGAGGTCGGCGCGCTGGGGCTGGAGGTCGCCGTCAGTGACGAGTTTGGCATCCCCGCCGCGTACAAGGAGGCCATCAAGTTCGCGACGCTCGCGTTTGCTAATAAGAGGGGTCTGGCAAATAACATCCCCGCCGCTGGGGGGGCTGTCAAGTACGCCGTGCTTGGAAAGCTCTCACTCGCCCCCTGGAGGGCTAAGAATGGCGGGGAGGTTATTGGGAGAGCTGAGAAGGTGTTGGGGTTGGGAATTGGTGGGTGCCCCCGTTGAGCCCGCATTTTAGAAACGACAGGACTGACGTGGAAACATAGCTGACGGAACTACGAACGGAACTACGAACGGAACTACGAATGGAACCAACGGTGTGCATAGGGTCAACGGGGCGCGTTAAGGCAATAGAAGGTCATGTAGCAAGATGTGTCTGAAGGAGGAAGATGTTTTGAACCTTGTTCTCACCAGCATACCGATGTGATAGAGGGTGTATTTTAGCCAAAACACAATCACTACAGCGAGTGGGCTTCGTTGAGATATGATTATTCTGTCAGCACTGGCTCTCGCATTGTTATCTTGCCATCACCGAAGTTTAGGGTAATTCATGAGATTGCTATACCACCCTATCCTGTCCGATTTAAACCCGGCAATCTTAACAGATCATGGCCATATTTCGTCTCCTCGAGGCGTGGACAAGCAGCCCCTCACAAACCCTCTTGTTTGAACACGATGATGAGAACCCTCAACGTTGGGAGATCAGTCGAAGCGCGGCTCCGCTATCGTAAGGCTGCGGATATCACACAGCGGCCGATCACCTCAAAGGCCCGTGTAATACTGCCTCTGCAACGCCATCCAAAGCAAGGCGGAGCCCGACATAATCAACGTAGGCGCAGACTCCTTGGGCCGGGCCGTGCGGTAGACCAGCAACTCGGTGCCGTTGAGGAAGATGACGCCGGCAAACGAGGCCATCCCCAGCGAGTAGAGTTGCGGGTTGGACATGTGATACGCGGCATATCCGCGGATGAGGGCGGTGTAGACATTCTTCACGCCATAGACGTGGGCGAGCAGCGCATTTGGAGGCGGTCGTTCAGGGCCGCTGAATTGTTTCATGGACACCTCGGGGGGTGAGGTGTAGCACACGGCTGTGTGGATGACGGCAAAGGTGCTGAGCTGGATTTGACATTAATCAGTGCACAGTCAAAATTGGATAATTCATTAAGACGTACGAAGAGTAGGAAATATGGCAGGTAGCCATCGCTCTGCGGCAGGAAGGTGAGAAGACTAGATGAAAGCGCCATGTTGATTTTTGTTGTGTCGTGAAGAAATGGGGATAAGGGTAAAAAGGGGCAAAAAGGTGGCTTGTTCTGACATTTGTTCCTGTACCCACTCACATCTAAGCCACCCCCACCATCCATCCCACCAAAAATTTACCGCCACATTTGTCCCTCAAGGTGTCGTGATATGCGGTACGCTCGTTGCTTGTTCAGTTAGGAGACTTATACTTTGCCTCTTCGTTTTCTTTTCCTATGAAATCGAGTTCGGCCATGTAGACCATTCTTGCTACTGAGGATTATAGGGATAGTTACACTAAATGGATTTTGTCAGTGTTTCCAGCCAGTTTGTCAGGGACCATCTCTCCCTGCATCATGCCATAGACATAGGCGTGCCCCACTAGCTCGAACTTGTCCATCACGCCTGACTGCCGCAGAACCAAGGGCATCCTACATCCAGAGACCACGCACAACCTATCCCCCGGTCTTGCTCCAGGGGGGCAGAAGCCCATGTAGCCAGTGTTGCTCAAAAAGAAACCGTGACGTAGGCAACGTCGGAGTTCGGAATCAAGTTCGACCATCCCCTCTCCGTAGCTTGCTCCGTCGGCCTTCTTGCTAGCATTGAATATTTTTTCCATCAGCTCAGACCTACAAGAATCCGGAAAGACGTCCCACAGGTGGAGAACAAGAAACCTGTGTTTGAGCTCCTGCTTATCGGAAAGGTCGTGGCCGTCTTGAGCCAGCGCGTAAATGCTTCGTGGCGAAAGAAAGAGCAAGCAGAGCTGTCGCAGGTCTAGTCCCTCGGCCATGGCAAGTTCGATCAGGTAGTCGAAGAAAACCAGTGCCTTTGAAAACTTTGTCCGGCCGTCTTTCATCTGAGCGAAGGTGGAGTACTGCCCGGTGTCTGTCCTTGCCGAGTCTCGAATAATGCTTCGAAAGAGAACTTCACTCCAGGGCACGCCGACTGGGTTGACCTTTGACAGGGCCTGGCCTTCGGAGAACAAGAACTCGACGCATTCCCAGATTACATGCCACGTATCCTTGGCCGAGAAAGTCTTGACGGACTTGATCTCATCGCACCAAGTTCCTTCTAAAGCCAGATCATCTGTAGCCATGTCCTCTGGGAGAGTGCAAAGCTCCCTATGGCCACATGCTTGATATGAGTTGTAACTGGCGCCAATGTTCCAGTGGAAGGAATAATCTGGTACCCAGGAAGGGAGACCAGTGGCGTGTAATCGATCAGCTGCTGTGATCCAACCAATTCCAGCGTTGGCGAGAAGTTCGAGGGATTTAGATTGACGAAACTCGGCGATCGTGTATGACATGTAGAGGGAAGACACGTCAGAGCCGTAGTCAGGCTGAACAGGCCAAGTTTCTTTGTCGATTAATCCCAACAATCCAAAGATTCTATCTCGAGGGTCGGTGGCTAGGCAGGCCGATGTGGCCTTGAGCAACCTCGGCATGTCTATGTTCTCTTGGACGGGTCCACGGTTACGGAGCATGATGTAAAGCATCCCGAGCTCGTAGTCGCTGCTCTCATCTCTTTTGCGAAGTAGACCTCCCCGTATCATTGCCATGTTGAAGAAGATGAAGGATTCGGAGAGGAACGACCCCACCCAAGGGCGTTCGAAGTCGGTGAGTCCCCCCCCCGTCTCGATAGCATTGAGAGCCAATATGGCAGCAAGCATGTCGTATGCAGCAATAGTGTCATTGCCACAGACGATGAGCCGTTGGCGGGCGAGGGCGTGTTCCTGGATAATCCAGATTCGATGCCAGTATGGTCGATTATACAACGCAGCGGCAGCCCGTAGGGCTTTCTCATCGAAATACTGTCCACGACCATTGCTTTCCGCATCTTGCATGATGGATTCCTCGACTTGCTGTTGTTGCTGCCGACTCATTTTCCCAGTCTGGAGGGATGTTTTGATGACCTCGCGAAAGTCCCGATTTTCCTTCAGCAAGGTAGCCCACATCTTGATGAACTTGATCGCACTATGGCTATCTCCATCCTCGGGGCCCAGCCACATGATGACTTCGCTGGCACGGGCGTAGATGTCGCTCATTATCCCGACTTGGTGGTTCTTTTCGAGGACGTCGTCTTGGTTGATGCATATTGCGTCAATCCAGAGATGGTCGACACCCGCAGACTTTCCACTCGCTCGCCACATTTCCCGAATCTGACAAAGCGCATCATGAAGATTTGCTGTAACATGTTTGGGGACGCCGCCAAATATTATGGACTTGGTGATTGACGGATCCCCCCAGACGTAGGACAGTGCCTGGTATTTTCCGCGGAATGTGTCGAGATCGACAGTGGTGATATGAAGATCAATTGGGTTGGATTTGGCGAGTGACGAAAAGGTGACCAGCCGTATCTCCTTCTTTCCCCTTTTCAGACAATCGTAGGGTGAATCCGGTGACGAGGACCTCACTACGATGCCGAAGTCGTGGGAGGCGGAGGAGCCTGGTGACTCAGGGTTTCTCTCCCGCGAGGATGTGGAAAGCTGCGAGGTTCGATTTGGCGAAACCTCTTGCTGCGTTGGAATGATGTTCTGTGCGGCATATCTCGAATTTTGTCGTGTGAAGGAGAGGGTCTTGGTAGGCGGATAAGAAAAGCGACGACATCGCTGGCAGTTGGACATGACTGCATTTGCCCGCCTCATCGTGTCGCTCTAGACTGGCCCAATCTGGGGCTCCAAACCCTTCGCGGACGAGAGAGTCACGTATGATGTTGGCGGTACGTTCTTTCTGATGCATCGCAACGAGTTCATGTCAAGAGGTGTAGCAGGATGATGATCGAGTCTCAGCCCCCCGGAGGCCGTCCGGAAGTAACATATTCCGCACCATCCTGCCACGTCTGGCCTGTATGTGGTGTGGTGAGCCATCTTATTGGTTAATGCAGGCCATCCTAATTAGTGCAGTCAGCCTTCGGCTGTCAGCTTATGTTCATGGCTAATAAAGCAAACCACCGAATCATAAGCTGGAAGCTTTGCTTCAAGGAAATCAGTCGTAGCCACTATATCCCACCGCCTGAGAAATGATGGAGGTACTGAGAGAGCCCACGACACAGTGGTCCCGATGTTTTAATTTGATGACACGCCACTTCTGCGGCACGCTATTAACTGCTGGACGCTCAGATTCAGCGCCCCACTCAATGCCGACAAGCTCAGAGGTGCCCTGCCGAGAGAGAGGGCTGGAAGGAACTCGGAAAACGGATCCGCTTGAACGTAAGACTGTATATCGCCGTGACAGCGACTAAGATTGGCTCCCTGACTCAAAATCCACAAACAGAAGGAGCAATAGCTAGAGATCCACATTCCCGAGACCTTCCCCGTGAAGGGCTGGCGCCGAATTTCCACCACGATTCCCTCGACGTAAGAATCGACGAGGACCCCATGGCCCGGGTCGGGGCCGATCCGGCCTTTGCCAAGAGGCACGCCACCGAGGAGCAGCTGCTCACGGGCTTGTGGCTGTTCCTATAGGGAGCGCGCTTTGTCCTTGACATGTTTTGGTGGCGGAGGATGGAGACCCGGACTGTCTTCCTGCCGCGGAGGACGGTGCGGGATCTGCGTGTCGAGGCAATGGCCTCGCTCGCCGCGGATGCCGACGCCGCTGCCAGAGATGGGCCGACGCCGTTTGTCAGCGAGGGCGACGTGCTAACGGCGTGGATGATATCCATGGCGGCCTCGGTGCTGCCGCTGTCCTCTTCGCGGACGGTCGGCATCTCTAGTGCTTTTGGCTTCCGTGGCCGCTTGACTTCAATGTTCCTCGCGAGGGAGGGCGAAGGGGCGAATGTGCAAAATGCGGTGCTCCCCTTCTTCACGAACCCTCCGGCCAGCGACCTCATTGCCAGGGATAATGCGCTCGAGTTCGCGGCACGGCCCATCCGTCGTAACATCGAGACGCAGGCCACCGAGGCCCAGATCCGTGCTTTCGCCCGCCTTGCGCGCGTGTCGCTCGTGGAGACTGAATTACTGCCGTTCTTCGGCGATACGAGCTTTTTCTTGGTGAATTGCTCCGACTGGACTAAAGTTCGGTTCTTCGAGGTGTTGGATTTTGGACCGGCCGTCCTCTCCAGAAGGAGCGCGAATAGCAATGCTGCTCTCAGTCACAGCTGGGTGGATGTCCGGGGGATGAGCCGGACTGCCAGCCAAGCGGTGGAAACGGTGGCGCCGAAGTACAACCCGGTCTACTACCACGTCCAGGGGGTGAGCCCGAACGATATGCTGGCTCGAAATTCGTTCTTTCTCGTGGGAACGCCGAATGGCGATTACTGGATCACTGGCTGTTTTCCTCCCGAGGTGTGGAGGAAGGTGGAGGTGGCAGTCTCCGCGACTTGATGTAGTAGATAGGCAGCGTGATCACCACCCATGAGCTAGGCAAATGCAGCATACAACTAGAGCAGACGAAAGGCCATCTCCCACTTCTCTGTCACAGGATCAGACTGTAGTGTAACAGCATGGATAGTTGTATCAATGAGCGGTATGACAGTCTCTAGAAATCCTATTCCACTTCCTGAACCCCCAAATGACGCTTACTTAGGGCCTCGGTTTACTCCAGCGCTTTGACTTCTCGGAACGTAAGGCCGTTCTTCACAGCAATCAGTTCCCCATGCAAACAAAACACCACGTCATCTCCCACCGTCTTGACAGGCAACCCCTCGGCGCCGCTCGACCCAGCCAGATAGTCCTTTGGCACAAAAAAGTGCTGCGTGTAGCGCTTCTCCTCCAAGCTTGGCAAGTCGATACTCGAGATCCACGAGTTCTGGTGGACGAAGACGATGCTCTTGGTTGGCTCGCTGAAACCCACGAAGTGCTTGCAATGCTTGGGCAGAACGTCACTTAGTGGTTTTAGTATGATATCTGACGGCGACCCTGTGGCTGGGGGTGGGACCTTGCTGAGGTCGAAGAGGAACATTGTAGAAGAAGACATAAGGAGGTTTGAATGGTGGCGCACTTCGAGGACCAACGTTCGGGTACTTGTGCTGACGACTGCAGTATTGATGCCTGTCTCCACGTCACCTTCGTCGAGGTCGTATTGTAGGCGGATCTCTGGGCTTTCAAGAGGCGCGGGGAAGGATTGGGCGTTGTAACGCCGGATCACGCCGTCCATGAGCAGCGTGAAGTGTTGTTTTTCCTTGTCCTCGTGGGGAAGGAGGAGCCATCGCCAGGTCTTTCTCTCATGTTTGTCAAATGCCCATGACCCAACGCAGGAACCGTCAATGACACGATAAACATGGTCCGAACTTGTCGTCCCCACAAGAAGGTACTCGCCGTCGGCACTGAAGCACAGTTGTTTGACCTTCGCCGTCATATGTATTTCGGCGAGCAACAACTCGATTTTCATGGTTGAGGACTCAAGCTTCCTGACTTGCACCACGCCTGCGACGTCGCTCGAGGCGATGATGTCGTTCCTGGAGATGGCCAGCTCCATGACAAATGCCGTTTGTGAATGCGAGTACAGCACTGTGGTCGGCTTCTCTCCCTTTGTGCCGAAAGCAACGACCTGACTATTGTACTTTCCTGCAAAGACAACGGGCAGCGACGGATGCGAGCAGAGCGTCATAATCGTCGCATTTTTGTGAGACTCGTACGCGCCCTCCGTCACAGCTAATTGAATAGCATCGTCGCTCGTGCTAGCGTCCTCTTCCAAGTTCTTACGGACGAGAACGGCAGGAGACCAGATCCGCATGGCGGAATCCATCACGTCGACCACGCTCGACCCATCCGAGGTGAAGTTCAAGATGCGGAAGGAAGGGAACGGAGACAGGACGTGATACAGGACAGACAATGACTCGAAATCCCAGATGTGCATATTGCCACGCGTGTCTGTGGTGACCAGGGTTCGGCCGTCAGGAGAACATGCCGCCGATAACAGACCAATTTCGTTAGGCATCGTATGGGTTCGAACCAGGTTTCCCGACCAGGTCTCATACAAGGCAAGGCCGTGGTCCGTATATATGACAAGCAAGAGGTTGATGTTGGGATCGGGGTTGAAAAGCACCTTCGCAGCAAGTCGTCCAGCTTCGTCTCGTGCCCAGCCGGTGAGTTCGGCCTCCCGGATGTCCCAGAGGCAGACTGAACCCCCGCGATATCCGAGAGCAAGCATCTCCATATCTGGTGATATCGATGCGACGTGTGGTGCTCGAGCCACAAGCCCGTTGTGCATAGTGGGGACGTCGTAATTTCGATATTCAACATTTTGGTCCTCCAGTAATGCACCGCTCATTTTATCCCACCGCAGAAGGTGACCGTGCTGGGATATAGCGATGATGCTGTCATCCGAGGATGTTAGCAGGAGGCAGCGGAACCTCAACCGACTCTCCCAGATTGTATTTCCATCCAATTCCTGGAACACGATGGCCTTAGTGGTACAAATGGCGATGAACCTGTCCGTGAGATGCACTAGATCGACCGGATGCTTGTGGTGGATGAACCCCTCCTTTTGATAACTGCGGTGGTTGTACAGGTTCACATCTCCTGATTCCATTCCAACGGCAATGAGGTTCTCGCCACAAGAAACGGCTACTGCGACGTCATCCCCAAAGCCGACGTACGCGACGCAGTCGTCCCATGCATTGTTCTTCACTCCTACAACGGAAAGACTGTCTGGTCTCTTCCCGAACTGTTGGTAGATGGAGGAGCCAGAGGGGCACAACGGGGGAATAAGAAGATAGATCGACGAAGGGTTGTATGAAAGAGCATCTCCAAATTGGGTCACCAGCCTGCTTAGATCGGTTGACCATCCGTCAATGTTGCGTAACTGGCTGCTTAGACCTGGTCCACGGTTAGGTCTCCGGCTCAGATATGCCCTGAGATTCTTCGATGCTCGGACAAGGCAATGGAGGTTGTCATTCAGGGCAAGTCTTTCGATCCAACTGAGGACATTCGATTTAAAAAATCGGTCCATCGCAAATAAAAGCTCGTCGCTCTTTGAAGATGGAGCGTAGATGTGCTCAGGAAACTGCATCAGAGCGTAGCCGAGAAACGGCGAGGCCTCGGATTGTCTCTGAATTTGGCTTATTGGTCGATTCCGTGGACGACGCATTTCGCCGCGCGAAAGCAGCTTCAAGCACGTCAATGCTATCCTCTCGTGGGCGGCAGGCTTCGAGACCATGAACTCGCCAGCTGCTTCGGATAACAGGAACTCGCGGGCGGTTGGATGGATAAGATCGACCAAGCCGGAATCGTTGTCGACAGACACCAACTGGCCACAGAGTCCTTCGACTGCAATTTTTGCACTAGGGAGCGCTGTATTAATATCAAGCTTGAGTGCCACGGAAAGCTCTGATATGGTTAGTTTTCGGGCACTTGCTACTGTCCAGACGAGGACTGCCTTGGCGATGTGCTTCTCCAGGGTGTTTGCCGTCATCGCTTTAACTGTTCTCTCGTAGTAGGGAAGCATTCCTCCCGGGATTCTCTCAAGGACTTTTGTGATGCTCTCGCTAGAGTATACGTTTTCCAGCTCGTCCAGGACCAGCCGGACCCATAGAAAGCAAGCATTAGACTTGTCGAGTATGTTGATTGCAAGTTCTTCTCTGTCGGTAAAGCTTCCAAGTGGCAGGCTATCGATGCGACTCTGTATGTAAGACCGAATATCGTTGATGGTGTCTTGAACTGGTATCTCGATGCAAAACAGCGATGCTGACGACTCCAGCGATTGCTGCAGTCGCTGCATATCGTGAATGTTTCGACTTGTCATGAAGATCCGGAGAGGAAAGGCGGGGTTCTCGCCTCTTAGCATGGTGAAGAATTCTTGATACTTGTGGGACTCATCCATCGCATCGATGACCCAATACTGTGGTGTATGGACTCGAGCCTTGATGGGCGAAGTTGGTGAATACACATTGCAACCTGATCAACTGCAGTCCCCAAGAACGACTTACCTGAAGAATGCCTTTTCTGAAAACCTTCGTCCAAATGGCCCAAAAATCGTCCAAGTCAAAGCTGGCACCTTCATAGCATAACTTCAATAAGTTTTCGCGGATGACAGGATTCGACATGGCCATCTGGTAGCACATCGATCTCAAGAAGGGCCCGAGAGACTGCGAAGCCTTGTCGCCGACATGAAAGTAGTGATAAGCGCACTCGAGCTGGAACTCCCGAAGATGAGATATGACATGTGAGGTGAGAACTGTCTTCCCCGTCCCGGGATTGGCATGAACCCAAAAGATGGACAGATTCTTGCCCCCAGTTTCGGCGAGTGCTTCGGCAACAACCTCTTCGGCGCAATCTCTCCAATCTTGGAAGTCGTCCCGAGCTTCGATCCATCGACAAGAGCCTTCGACTCCCTGGTGATGTTCGTCTGGGCTGGCTGGCACGCCGAGAAAAGATCTTAAAGTCGTCATTTGTTCTCTGGATTCTTCTCGTTTGGTGGCCGAAACTGTGCAGGTTGGTCAGCCAGTTTAGTTACTAGCCATTTAAATTCTCCTGGGGAACCATACCATCTATTAGGAGATCTTCCACCGCACAAGCGAGGGCATTTTTTACGGTGACATAATTATGATCATTGGGGCTTTCGAATTTGCATATGTCGCGATGGTTCGCGTGGACATACTGAACCCGTTCATTCTTGTAGCCGCGTCCTAGGGTCAAATTAAGTATTAAGTCGGGTCAACATCAACGAGGGAGGCGGACATGCATGGATATGGCCCGAGAAGACATACCAAGGATAGCGGAATTTTTCTCAACAATCAAGGCTGAAGAAATGGCTGGAAGCATCCCTAAAGTTTCATAGAAAGTGAATATAGGCAAGTCGTGGGCGCACCTCTCAAAGTCGTCGTTGATCAACTGAATCGAGGTCGAACCCGTTGCAAGATCGGCGAGGTAGTGACGTGAAGACATTATTCCAGAAACCGTCAGAAGGTTGTTCAGCGTTGCAGCATGCCCAGATCCGCGGTGGGGGGTTGCCAAGAAGAATATACACCGAACACGGTTCTTGAAGTCCGGTACGTTTTGAGCCAGAATGAATGCCTTCTTAATGACAAGACCGCCCATCGAGTGACCGATGAGTATGATAGGGCGCTGGCCCGTGGTAAGCCTCGTCTCAGCAGCTTGCCAGTCCAAGTGGCCTTACCTCTCCTTTGTCTCTCAAGGATGGCGAATTTCTCATCTCTTCCAAGAGAACCTGCCCGAAATCGTGTATGTTGAGTATGCTTGGTGTCGAGCTTGCCCAATCCGAGTCATAACCAAAACTATGGATACTGGCATGTTCGAAAGCGGGCTCCATAGGCAGCCAGAACTGCGGCCAAAAACAGCGAGGATCATTTCCTTTCCGCCATGTCTTTATTGAACCTCCCCGCAGACCATGTACAAATATCAGGTCGATCAGTGGCGCCGGGGACGAATGCAGAAGTCGCAGCCCGATCGGGCCGCGAGCTCCTTCCTCGTCGTCCTTGTCGTGGCGATTCCGTGTCCACGAGGAGGTGAATCGGGTCGCACTTGCTGTTGATTTACCATCATCGAGTCCCGGGATACCCTGGATAGACGAAAGGGCAGTGACGGGGCTTCGTACGTCGACTCTCACGGCCCCGCGGGCGGGGCGTGGGGTGCTGGGCCCTTGCCCCCCTAACTCGCGCCGAGAAATCTGACCGGGTGGATATTAGCAGTGCGTGTGATGGTTACCCAGAGGGAGCTAGGCCTAAAGCCGTTACTTACGGTCATCGCGAAGGCAGAGCCATATAATCGCAGCGAGCGGAGAAGGTGACGGAAATGCCACCGCCGCGAGGGATCGCGCCGAGCCGCTTCCCGCGGTCCGCCTGAGGCCGCCATGCATGAGGCATCCTTCCTCCCTGACCAGTCATAGGAGAGCAATGAGTGCGATAAGCCCACATCAGCCGCCCGAGCGAATTTGGGGAAGAGGGGGTGGGCGCGTAGGGCAGGTGCTTCCAAGTAATTCGTAATTAGATGATATTGCTAGGCAGGCACCCTTGCGTCGCCATGAGCATTGAAAACTTGGATCCTGCCATTGTCGCAGGTGAGACTGCTCCTCTCAAAACCTCCATGACACGATACCCTGGTGGGGATGCTAACATGGAAGGATCGATCTCAGCATTTCCTACTGGAAGCAGAATCCTTTCAATAGTCCAGCACGGCGACACAAATGTAGGATAGGGTAGTAGCTTCTGAACTTGGGACGAATAATTACTGACTCAACTTCCACAGTGGTCAACTGGGTTTAAGGTCGATGTTGAAGTAGACGGCAAGGAGGAGAGGTACTTCCTCAAAGTGAGCGCTTCATCCTGAGCCGGGGCTTGTAGGTTTTCTCACATCTTGCTTCCTAGATGATCGCGCGTGAAGACCTGGTTGGGATGGCGGAAGCAGAATATGAAGGACAGAAGGCTATATCTGCTGTCATCCCAGACAATGCTCTAGAGCCGATTGCATGGGGATATTTCGATGGCGATGAGACCAAGTCGTGGTTTCTCACGCACTTCCGCGATCTTCGGGCTCGCACACCTTTATTGCCCCCTCTTGTCTCCATTGTCAAGAAGTTGCACCAAGAATCCGTATCTCCGACGGGCAAGTTTGGATTCCACGTTACGCCCTTCTACGGCCCGCCACCGATGATTGTTGACTGGACCGACAACTGGGAAGAGTTTTGGACGCGCGAATTCCAGTCTGGCCTGAAGTACGTGCAGAAAATGCTTGGCGATGATCCCGAACTGGTTGAAGTGGCCGAGCAGTTCATTTGTACGGTTGTGCCCAGGTTGTTGCGGCCCTTACAAGCTGGCGGCAGAAACATCAAACCCAGTCTATGCCACGGAGACCTTTGGGATGGAAACATCCAGATCGATGCTGAAACACAGCAGCCAGTGCTCTTTGATCCGTGCCCGTTCTATGGCCACAACGAGATGGATCTACAGTGCATGAGGAGCGACCGATATGCCATCGGACTGGATTTCGTTGACCTGTACAAAAGGGAGGTGGGCGCATCTAAGCCCCAGGAAGACTTTGACGATCGGAATGCTTTGTACGCAATGTAGGCACCTCCTGCAGATGATAAAATCTGGCTTGAAATCTATAACTAACCTCGTACAGACGGAACGACATTATGACCGCAGGAATGTGCCCCCAGTGGTCTTCGTTGATAGAAAAGTTGGTAAGAAGTGCCAAAAGTTCGGCACCTCAGAGACTGACGAACCGCAGGGCCAAGGAAGAGATGCGGCGACTAATAAACAAACATCCCGAGGGACTCGGCGGCTTCAAGGGTGATATGACTCCGAATGAGGCTTGGGAGATGGAGACGGGTAATGAAGGCCCAAGTAAACTACGAGACGAAATCTTAGGAGAAGGTCCCCCTTTGAAGTGCCAACTCCAGTAGAATTAGTGCCCTTCGGAACGGAGAATCTATACCTGACTCAAGATAGACGACGACACGAGGCATCGGCGTGGGGCATAGGGCCATTCTTAGCATCTCGACATTGAAATTAGGTCACCCATCAGGGGGGAATGACGAGTAACGACTGTTCTTTTGGTACTATGGTCTGAGCATCATCCATAAATACCAGTCCGTTCCCCAGAAATCATCTAGGTCTAACTCTGTGCCACGGCTTGCCATGTGATTTATCCCTGCATCGTCTGGTACAGCTCCCGCAGAAGCCCACTCTCCTTCTGCAGCAGCTCCGCCGGATGACCCACCTCAACAACCCTCCCACTCTCCACCACCACGGCCAGATCAAAGTCCATGATATGCTGCAGCCGATGGATGACCTCGACCACTGTCTTCTCCTTCAGATCCTCCTTCACGACCCGGCGTACCAGCATCTCCGTCTCGCGGTCCATGCTGCTGGTGAACTCATCCATCAGTACGATCTGCGAGCTCCCGCGCTGGAACAGCGCCCTCGCCAAGCAGAACAGTTGCTGCTGGCCGATGCTGAGCCGCTCCTCGGGATCGAGGTCGCTGTCTAGCGAGACGGGCTCCGCTTCCTTGTCCTTTTCCTTATCATTATCCTCGCCCTTGTCCTTGGCCTTGTCCTTGGCCTTGTCCTTGTCCTTGTCCTTGTCCTGATCCTGATCCTTATCCTTATCCTTATCCTTATCCTTATCTTTGTCCTTGTCCTTGTCCTTGTCCTCGACCTCGGACTCGGAAGACGTCTCCTCCTTCTTAGGATTCTTGCGGGCGAACAGGGCATCCCAGATGCCTACCTTCCTGAGGACGGCTTCGATCAGCGCGTCTGTCTCTTCCGGAGAGCGGGACGGGTCCTCGTCCCACAGGGTCATGTTTTCCCGGATGGAGGCGTTGATGAAGAGGGCCTTCTGGGGAAGAGTCATGATTCGCTTGCGGAGCGAGTCCCGCGACACCCTGGTGATGTCTTGGCCGTCTATGACCACTGTGCCGGAGCTGAGGTCAAGGCAGCGGAGGAGGGTGGCGAGGAGGGATGATTTTCCACTGTTGGTCGATGGGTCAGCGTTTTCTCCTCGACATGTAGGTCTAGATGCGAGGGAGTGGGATGTCTTAAATACCTTCCACTTCGGCCACAAACGGCGACTTTCGTGCCGGGCTGGATGCACAGACTCACGTCGTACAACGCGGGCGGCAAGCTCGGACTAGAATGCACAAGATTAGTTACTCTGCTTGACGCTCCGTTGGAAGTGGCCTCTTACTTGTATGTCGCGGATACGTGGTGGAACTCGATCTCTCCTCGACCGGGCCAATTCCTGTGAGGCGCTGGAAGCTCCAGCTTCTCTTCTGGCTCGACGTCGGTGTTGAAGCGCTTAATCCTGGCGACGGCTCCAATCGAAGTCTCCAGCTGTGCCCAAAACGTGATGAGATACTTGAAGCTTGAGCTGAGTGAGATCTAAGACGGTGTTAGATAAAAGGATAAGCAACAGCATGCTGTTCAGGCAACATACCAGGTTGACCAAGGCAAGTCCGAGGAAGCCAAGGGATTGAGAAGACCGGAAGTTGACAGCAAGGCTCGTCACTAGCACTGCCAAGATGGCTACCACAAAATCGAGAATCATCTTCAGCCAGACCTGAACCGAAAGGAGCATGTACATGGCTCGCTGGGAGTAGTCCAAGTGGGTCGTGTTCCTCGACGAGAACTCCCCGGTGCGGTCAAAGGCTCGGATGGAAACGATGCCTTGGATGGTCTCCAGGACAAAGGCGGATAAGGGGGCCTTTGCCTCGATGTCCATCAGACGGAGCTGTTTGGATGTTCTGAGGTAGAACTTTTGGATGATCCATAGCATGCCGACTAGGATTGGGACCGAAACAGAGACATATTGGGAAGAGATGAAGATGATGACCGCCTCGGCGCAGGCTCCGAAAAGGGCTGGGGTTGGGAACATGTTAGTCAACGCCGTTGTTGTGGATATCGGGGGGTCTGCTTACCGGTTGTGACGTTCACCAAAGCCATTGGTAATTCATCGTCGATAAGCATGATGTCTTGTATGAACCTGCAACGATGTCAGTAGCCGCAACCGGGCAAAACATGGATGTCTTCTTGCTTACCTATTCGCAAGCGTTGTTGAGCCGACAGAAACAACATACGAGATGGAAGATCTATGCAGGGTTAGCAATGCTTATCCGCGCAGTTGAGTCCAACGTGTTCTCACCTCATCAGGGTGTTGAGCTGTCCAAAGTACAGCTTCAAGGACGACGAGGAAAGCAAGACATCGAAAAAGAAGCTGTGTTGATCCGTTAGCCCACGCACATGCTGAGATCGCCGAAAACTTACAAGCACAAGCCGTAGAGCAGAGTCAGGCCGCCCACAATGAGCCCTGTAAAGATGGTAATGTAGTAGGTCAAGGAATGATTAGTTGACTCGGCCCACATCTTCAGCCAGACGCCTGCGAGGTGGGAAGAAATTAGCAACATTCTGGATGGGACATCGGCATGGAACAGGAGTAGTCGACTTACTCTCGAAAGATCTCTCGGCCGCCAAAATCGCAGCGAGGACAAAGAATAGAGACATCCCCATCAGGCCACAGGATTTCAGGAAGTACCAGTAGACGGTGAAGTCGGACGGAGATCGACTGTTCACAATTTCCTCATCATCAGCGCCTTGGTTGATGAGAGCGACTTGTCCGTCGCCACTTGAACTGGAGTCTGCCTTGCCGAGGGACTCGGATCCGTCCGACATGTTCTCCACGTTGATGATTCCCTCTGCGAGAAGTTCGTCGTAGCCAGTCTGGTGGGTGATGATCCCGTTATTCAACACGAGAATCGTCTCGAACCGGGGCAGGAATTGAGCTGCGAGCAGGTTAGCGGGTTGTCTAGGCCATCTAATGAGTGTTGGTTGGGATCGAGGGGGAGTACGCACTGGAATGAGTGGCCAGCGTGACTGCGCAGTGGAGCCTGGCTAGGAGTCCTGTTTCTGAGAACAGGGCGGAGAAGACATGCTGCGCCGACTTCCGATCTAGACCGCTGAAGATGTCGTCAAGGAGGAGGAGATCCGGCCTGCAGTAGATGGCGCGGGCAAGAGCCTTGGTACCGCACGTATGGTCAGCACGATGCGAATCCCAAGGAGGGGGACAAAGTCATCTATGTCACTTACTATGCGACTTCGTTGGCCGCCGCTCATCGCGGACCCTTGACTTCCCACGCCCGTCTCGTCTCCCTTGGCGAGGCCAGATATGTCTTGGGTCAACGCACAAGCGTCGACAACCATATTGAACCACTCCGGATCGTACGGCAAGGAGCCCACGATGTTCTCTCGGACGGATTGGTCGAGAAGCCACGGCTCCTGGTCGCAATACGCTACCCTGAGGTTAGGGCGGAGTCGCCTGAAGCCCGAGATCTGCTCCACTTCTCCGAGCATGGCCTTGAGAAGGGTGGATTTGCCCGAACCGACTCTATGATGATCCGTTATTTGGTGCACTCCAGGGGAGCTTTTGTGTGTGAGGGAGACTTACGGCCCGATGATGGCTGTGAATGAAGACGGCTGGATCGAGAGCGCCATGACGTACAAGACCGGAACGTCCCGGTCCTTCCAGCAGAAAGTGGCATCAGCAATCTCGACGAGATGCGACGGAGGGCTGATGTCACTGTAACCAAGCTGTGGCACGTGCTGGACGTAACCCGGAAAGGGGCTCAGTGCCGCGTCACTGTCCGGCGCCATCTTGACTCTGATGAGGCTGTTTGGAGATGATGCTCCCGAGCCCTCAAGACCATGACCCATTTGCCTGTCGTCGTTGAGGAGGTCCTGGATTCGTCCGAGACACTTGAACATCGACACGAGAGTGGGCGTGCCCTGGATGAGAAGGAAGAGGGGATCTAGGGAGATGCGAAGGAGTGCCAGGGATGCAAAAAGAGTCTGGGCTGTGAGAGGGACACCGTGGATCTTGCTGATTATTGCGAAACCGCCATAGGCAACAAGGATTGACAGCTCGGTGGAGGCGGCAGCTGGAAAAAAAAACATGTTAGAAGCGCTTAAAACAAGGGATGTCTGCTACTCGTCTAGTTGGACTTACACAGTACAATAACGATAGAGATGATTCGCCGAAAGCGTCTGCAGTAGGGTCAGTTGTCCGCGTCGACAGATTGAAGTGTATCTCGGCGGAGCACCGATTCTTTGGGCCTTACCTGCCAAGCTGGACCTCGTTCAGACGGAGCTTCTGGAGGCTTTGAAGATAGTCCCCTGAGAGGCCCAACATCTTGACTTCCTTGAAGCTTGATATCATGGTCATGGTGGATTTCACCCGGCTCTCGGTCGCGGCAAGCCACGCCACTTGTCTTTGGCCTATTGGACCGCCAAACAGTCCACCTAGAACAGTCATGACTAGGCAAAACACATATTAGCTTCTGGGTCATACAGCGATATGGATGTGTTCCGACTTACCCAGCGTGCAAAGAAGCGGTGCAATGAATCTACAGACGAGTTGGTTAGCCCAAGTAATTACCACAAAGCAGATTGTTGGATGACTTACGCAAGCTGGATCTGCAAGTACAAGAGATACACAGCAATGCCGACGGTGAGCACGCTGGCCCAGATGTCATGGAGGATGAGCGAGCCATCCATGATGTGCTGCATATCCACGTTGATGAGGGTTGTGGCCTTGCCCGTGTCGAGTGCAGCGGGCCTCAGGCGCAGCAAGTGCCGGTACGTGGCATCGATCAACTGGCTTCGCAGCTCGAGGGCAAGCCTGTTGGAAGAGTGCGCGAACCAGGCATTGAAGACGGCCGTCAGGATGTACAGCACGCCGAAGGCCCCAATCAGGGCATATCCGATGTCGGCGCGCTGGTTGTAGCCCCCTCCCTGGACAAAGTCGAGCATCCGTTCCAGCAGCATCGGTTGGGCGAGAGTGATGGCCACGATCGCCACTCGCGGGATGGCCGGAACGAGGAAGTGTTCCGGCATGGACTTGAATAGCGTGAGGAGCAGTGCCGTCTTTCCGGATTTGTCAAGACGCTGAGCCCAATTCTGTCGGAAACGATCGCGGAGTAATTCCGCGGACTCATCGTCCCGAGGACCAAAGAGATCCGACGCATTGAGAAAGCGATTGAAGCCTGGCGAGGAAGAATCAGTATCTCTGGACCATCAATACCAATCGTCTGGGGTTCTGGTTACGTACCATTCCACAGCGTTCTCCCAAGCCAGAGGAATAGGGTCCTGCCATATAGACCCGCCAGCTGCTCTTTGGTATAGGCCTTGTCGGACTCCTGGAGGAGCCCGTCCTTGGCCCACGCTTCGGCAATCGCCAGAGCGAGCTTGATGGCCAATGTCACAGACTCCATTGCCGCGAGGGTTGTCGCCCCTGGCAGGAACCACATGGTTCTGACTCTCACGATATCGAAACCGATGGTGAGAAGGAGATAGAGCTCTACCAGGAGACTTGGGGAGACGCGGAAAACATGTTCGCAGTACGATAGCAAGCAGAGGGGGAACACAGCCAAGAAGTTGAGTGCCGCAGCAGTAAGAGTAATCTTCGTCTTCTGTGGCCCCGAAACGGCCCAGAGGATGAGCAGAGCGAGCTTCAAAGCTCCCAGAATGCCGATTAGACCCTGTCACACATTTTGTTCCTTGTCAGCCAGGTCACCAACCATGTATCATGGGGGATTGCACGCACCTGCTTCAGGGGAAGGAGGATCCCGTTCCTCGCCGTCTTGGCTCTCCCGCGCAGGCATGATATGTGAATGAGGGCGGCAATGAGCAGGAGGGCGGTGGGCAGGATGCAGAAGACGGACTCCTCAAAGAGAAGGGTAAAATCCAGGCCCCCACGGCAATCCCCGGCCCACGGGCCCCATGAGTTGTCGACGGCGACACACTGGGTGTCCATGGTGCTTGCTTGGCTCTGTGATGGAGTAGAAACCGAAGCAGCCAGAATAGGGGGAGGTGTTAGGAGAGATGGCGAGGAAAAGTAATATGCCACGATGGGTCGCCTTTAACCAAGAGGAATACTTGCAGCGGGGAAAGTGGGGATGGGGGAGGCTGCTTCATGTGTATCCGCGTCCAGGACCAAGTCCATGGGATGGCGACATGGGTGGGGATGATGAGGGCTGGGAATATATTGATAAGACGGCGGAGGAGAGGAGCCGCGGGAAACGTAAGAATGGTCCATATTTTCTTGAAAAATAGTATTATAATACTCTAACCATTTATCAGTTATTCGAATTTGAATTTTCCTTCCGTTTATTTTCCCCAGTCGGGACTTTAGATGACGCGAAGCATCGCAACAGTAGCGAGAAGAACGAGAGGTTGGACAATTATGGTGGGTCTTGCGTGGGAAAAGAATAAGATGCGTCTATTTTTGGTGGGTCTTGCATGGAAAAGAACAAGATGCGTCTATTTCTGTGGTGCTGAGTGTGGGTGGGGTGGCGGAGCAGAAGCAGTGGGGCCTCGAGCCGAGCAGATCTGTCCCGGTTTTGTATGGATCATCAAAGTTCTTGTTTTAGACGAGGCGTTAGTTTAGCTTAGCTCTCCGATGTAACGGTTACCAGATCTTGCATTAGCTGAGGTAGTTGTTGTGCTGATGGGAAGTCGGGCCTCGAAACCATGTGCCAAGGGCAGCTTGCTTGGTAGATGGTATGCTGTGTCGCCAATATTGAGGCATGCAATACCAATTAGGTAATCCCTTTTGTGCGCCCCGGTACCTGAGGCCGTACCTGACGCCCATTCCACGACATGGTGGAGATGATTAGACGCACGTAGGTCCTTTCGCGTCGAAAGAGTTTTCGCCCCAGTGCTACGCCTCGGCAAAGATAGCAGCACCTTCGTCGTACGAGCCCAGAGGGAAGGAGTCGTCTTAGTAAAATATCGTCAGTCCCAGCCCAGCCAGCCTCACGTTATACCTTCTTGGCATCTTGGTTTGCAACTCAAACTTTAGAAAGGGCCTAGAGAGGAGGAGGAGGAGGATGGTGGAACTGAGACATTCGCAAATCGATCCCACAACCAACCCCTCTCCCCTCTGCCGCCGCTACCAAAAGAATAGGCGCCACCGCTTTCTAAATGCCGGCAGAAAAATCTCAATACTGTACCTTGTAGAGAACTTAGGGGCTATGTCCACTCGCACCCAGCACCTATCAAAATTGCTAGCAGGTTTGTGCTACTAAAGTCACTCAAGCCCGAGCACCTCCAATTTAGGCGGTGGGGTCCGGACCTTGCTCGCCGTTTCCGTCGGGAGGACCCGCAGTGGGGTGCTCTGGATTGGGAAAGGGCTTGCCACTCTAGCGTCGATGGGGGTGGCCAAAAGTGGAAAGCCCCTGGCAAGCCAAGGAATAAGCCCTTGATCCAGACTCTCCGACGCGGCACACTGACTGGTAATTATTTGGAGTATTTGGAGCCGCACGACAGCCACAATGAGCCCCTCTGGCTGTCAGACCTACCCGACTTGCCGAAAGCGAGCATTCCTCGCGATACTTAGGTTGTATGCATGCCCTCCATGCTTGTGCAAGCATTCAGGAACGAACTATTTGCGGAGACTGAGCCGCACATATTCTTAGAGTTAGACTACTCCCCTCGGCTAACCCCTGGAGAGCCTCAGCTGTACGCGAGCGAGACCGGTGGGACCAATCAACCAACGGGATACACGATCTTGCAGAAAAAAAGTTGGAAACTCCGTTCTAATCTTGGCACCCAGCAGGAACTTATGGGAACTAACTTACCATCACGCCACATGTTCGGTGAGCTCTTCTGGATCAGCTCATCAGCCCCCGTTAACCACCAAGGGCCAGACGGAATGGCACCTCCTCCGCAAAGTAAGCATCATGGATAAAAATAATATTCTTACTCCATCATCTTGTCTCTCCGCCTCTCCGACCGGCTTCGCCCGATCTTAGCTCAACAACACTACCGACCTTGATCTAGCCCTCCTCGGCCATCAATTGCCTAGTTGACTCTTGCACTATCCCTAATAGCGAAGTGACACAGGATAATGGCACGGGAGAACCCCTCGTGGCGGAGTCCATATGGGGGGGAGTGCTACAGTCACATCAAGCAGGTTACACATGCTGAGCTTGTCGTTCGCCCTTGAGGTTGATCCTCCAATTATGGACTAACCTCCTTTACTCCGCTAGACTACCCATGCGAGATATATCTCACCATCTGCATGTCATGAGGCAATGTGGAGAAGATTGACGAGTGATGAACACAATAATCTGCCTTTCAATAACTTAAATGGCTACTGGTCTGTTATGATCCCCATCAACGATATTCGAGGTATCCAGTCTCTCATCGCCAGTCCAGCCAGGCACTCTTCTCGTTTCGAGGTTGAATCTCAGTTGTGATCGCACGACAACCTAACCTCACCGTCCTCCAAGAGCTTCCATCCCCGACATCGCTCACCAACATCGCTCACCTATTCCACGAAGCCAACAAACAAACAAGTGCTTCATGCATCCTTCTTGATTACCCTCGAGTGACCAGCATCCAACCAACATCCACCAACATCAATCCCTTCCAGCACCTTCCTTCCAGCACCTAGAGGGCCCAATCAATCTTCACTGTGTGCAGGAACCCCGTTGTCGTTCCACGCGAAGATATCCAGCAAACCAATTTTTTCCAAGTCCCAACACTCGAGCTCAGCTCCCAGGCCCTCGCGTTCCTCTACGTCAACAGCAACGACAACGACAACGACAACGACAATTCCGAAACCAGGCCATCAACAATGCATAAATCCAGCCTGTCCACCGATATCACCAGGAAGTCTTTCTGGGCACAACGCATCCAAGCTGTCGAGAGTGGTCCTGCCACTCCCATTTTCTCCGACCAAGCTGCTGGTTCCCAGGCCGCCGATGCTTACGGTCGGACCGCCGCGGTCATGGCTGTCAACTCTGGGGATCTCCAGGTGGCAGCTGTCATGCACCGCCTCTCCCCGGATACCATCATCCTCGCCGCATGGGCCGTGCTGCTTCGAGCGTATGCCGGGGAGGACGGGCCGGTCAACTTCGGCGCCTGCCTCGACCGCGAACAGGCAGCTTGGCTGTTCGCCATGACGGTGTCCGGTGACGAGCGACTCCTGAGCGCCATGCGGGCCGCCGAGGAGGAGAAGAAGCTAGTGTTGAGCCATTCCCTGACGTTCGAATCCCTTGCCGCCTTCGCCGAGGGGACTGGCTACGGCGACATCGCTACGGCCGTCTACATCCACTCTGGGAAGCCTACCTCTCCCGATATGCACTTCCCTGTAAGGAAACCCCGAACCTGTACCTGACTCGGGGATCTGAAAGCTGACATTTTTCAGTCGATGGCGACACTTGTCGTCAACATTGCCGAGGGAGCCACGATCCAAGCGAACCTCACCTTCCGCAAGGATGCGCTCTCCGAAGACCGCGCAAAGAGCGTCGTCGACAACTTCTGCCACGTCCTCAGCACCGTGACCAAGAAAATGCAATTTGCCAGCAGGTTCGAGGTCGACGAGTTGCTGATCAAGGACATCGACACTGTCAGCCGGAACGACTACCGGCGCATCGTTGACTTCAGCGTGCCCCTGCCGCCGAAGCTCGACGCCTGCGTGCATGAGATGATCCTGGCACGATGCGCCGATCCCAGACACTCCCAGCGAGTGGCGGTGGCGGCGTGGGACGGTGACTTCACGTACGCCGAGCTGGCAACACACGCGATGCAGCTCGCGGGAGCCATTGCTGGGGCCGCCCAGAACCATCCCCAGGCAGACGGCGGCCAACTCTACGTGCCGTTCTGCCTGACAAAGTCCAAGTGGACACCCGTCGCCATCCTCGCCATCCTCGCCGCGGGAGGTGCCTGTGTCCCGCTCGAGCCGAGCCACCCGCCCGCCCGCCGGAACGAAATCCTGGCCCAGACAAACGCGAGCATCGTCCTGACCAACACGACTCTCTTCCAAGTCCTCACTGAGAGCTTCTCGGACGACACCACCGTCAGGCACGTCATTTCCGTCGATCAAGAGGGCGGTCCTGATCCCACCGCGGCCCGCCCCGACTCCCTCCCGCCGGTCCACCCCTCGGACCTCTGCTACGTCATCTTCACCAGCGGCAGCTCGGGGACGCCCAAGGGCGTCAAGTGGGCGCACGACGCGCTCGCGACCAGCATCCGGGAGCACGGGCGGGCGTTCCACATGGATGAGCACAGCCGCGTGCTTCAGTTCGCGTCGCACGTGTTCGACGTGTCGGTTGCGGAGCTGGTGACGCCGCTGGCGCACGGCGCCTGCGTGGTGGTGCCGTCGGACGCGGACCGCGTGGACCCGGCCAGCATGGCGCGCTTCATGCGGCGCATGGCCGTCGACTGCGCGCTGCTGGTGGCGTCGTACGCGCGCCTGCTGCGCCCCGCCGACGTGCCGTCGCTGCGCACCCTCGTCCTCGGCGGCGAGGCCATCGGCCAGGACAACATTGACAGGTGGACGCCCGCCCTCGACCGCCTCGTCATCGGCTACGGCTCGGCAGAGACGTGCATCAACTGCGCCGCCAACGAGCTCTCGGTGCGCACGCGCGCCCGCAAGCCCTGGGCAGAGGGGCTCGGACACGCCGTCGGGGCGCGCATGCTCGTCGCCGATAGGCACGATAGCGACCGGCTTGTGCCCGTGGGCGCCGTCGGGGAGATCATTGTTGAGGGCCCCGTCCTCGCTGAGGGTTACCTCAACGACGACGCTAAGACGGCGAGGGCGTACATTGAGAACCCCGCGTGGGTCCGCAAGGCGCACTTCCGGCCCGCTCAGCCCCGCCGCCGGTTCTACCGCACGGGGGATCTTGGGCGTCAGGCTGTCGACGGATCTATCACCTTCATCGGCCGCGCTGATTTCCAGGTTAAGGTTCGTGGCCAGCGTATGGAGCTCGGGGAGGTGCGGTCGCACATTGTGGCTTGCCTGCCTGAGGCTGTTGATATCCACGTCGACGTCATCTGTCCCGAGGGGGAGAAGGTCCTCGCGGCCTTCCTCTCGTTCGGCAAGGATGGCGACGACGGCCAGCAGCAGAAGCAACAGCAGGGCGCTATCCGAGTCCACCAGCCCGACCAGGCTCTGGGGGATTCGCTCCGCTCCATGGTTGAGAAGCTGAGACAGACTCTGCCACCTGCTGCGGTTCCATCTTTCTTCGTTCCCGTAACCGGGTTTCCCTACCTCGTCTCCGGGAAGGTTGATCGGCGGAGCCTGCTGAGCTTCGCCAACGGGGCGTCGGTGGAGAAGCTGGCGTCTTACAACTCGAGTTTCATGGCGGCCGCGGGGGAGTCGGCAGCCCCTGCGTCGGCGATGGAAGAAGCCCTCGTCACCTGCTGCAGAGAGGTCCTGAAGCTGCCGTCTCTCGGCATCGGCGACAACTTCTTTGCCTCGGGCGGCGATTCCATCTCGGCGATCAAGGTCGTCGCGGCGGCTCGCTCCCGGGGAGTCAATGTCACCGTCTCGGATATCTTCAAGACCTCAACAATCCGAGACGCTGCACAGCTCGCCACCGCGTCGGAAGACGCGCCGGATTGCGCGGACAATGCCGCTCCGGACGCCTTCAGCTTGCTCCCCACGGACCTGGCACACGAGATCGTGTCTGGCGTGGAAGTTCAGGGTCAGAAAGGAGGCAGAGTGATCGATGTCTACCCTTGCACGCCACTCCAGGAGGCCCTCATCGCCCTGTCTAGCATGCGCAGCGGGGCCTACATCGCGCAACACGTCTTGGAACTCCCCGACCACGTCGTTCTCGACAGGTTCAAGTCTACCTGGGCCGCCATGGTGAAGCGACACGACATCCTCCGGACCCGCATCCTCGAGAGTCCGCATGGCGCCGTCCAGGTAGTCTACGACTCCGAGATTGAGTGGCACGGCGGATCAGACCCGGCTGCTTACTGCGAACTGGACAAGTCAATCCCCATGGGATTCGGCGACAGCCTTGTCCGGTTTGGCCTGGTCAACCGCACCTTCGTCTTCACCATCCACCACTCCCTGTTCGATGGCTGGTCGATCACTCGCCTCTTCGACGACGTCGAGCGCCACTATGCTGGACTATCCCTCCTCGACCTGAAGCAGTACAACCTCTTTATCAAGTACCTGTCGGGACTCGACGCCGAGGAGCCGAAGATGTTTTGGCTTTCCACACTTGCCTCCGACACTGGCTTGGCCTCTTGCCATTTCCCGCAGAGTCTCAGCTCGTCGTACACCCCAATCCCCAATTCCGAGGTGAGCTTGAGGATCTCCACGGCTGCGTATGGCAAGTCGGAGTTCACCATGCCCACTCGGATCCGTGCCGCCTGGGCTCTGCTCGTCGGTCGCTATCTGGACTCACAGGACGTCATCTTTGGCGAAACGCTGTCTGGACGGACCTCGACCATGGACAACGTCGAGGCTGTTGCGGGCCCGACCATCTCAACTGTGCCTGTCCGGGTCAGGTGGAATGCAAGTGGCTCCGTTTCCGCCCTCCTACACGAGATCCAGAGCCAGGTCGTCGAGATCACCAACTCGGGCCACCTCGGTGTACAGAATATCTCCCGCCTGAGCCCCGCAGCCCACGAGGCGTGCCAGTTCCAGCATATCATCGTCATCCAGCCCAGGAAGGCTTCTCTCAGGTCGGCCCCCTCTGAAAACGAGCGGAACCACGTCGGACTCCTCCGGCGAAGGATCGGCCTTGAGGATGTCTCCCTGGACCTGCGAAACTTCCACAGCTACGCGCTGAACATGGACTTCACGCTGGAGGAAGATGGCGTGACGGTCACCACGACATTCGACTCTCGCGTCTTTGGAAAGCGGGAGATCGAGCACTTGCAGGCCCAGTTCTCCCACATTCTGGATCAGATCTGCAGGATTCGGGATGCCGCGCAGGGAAAGCTTAGCGAGATCGACTACGCCAGCCGAATGGACAACGAACTGCAGGTTGAGAGTAACAGCCGACAGAGTCTGAAGTATGACCAGACCACCCTCCTGCAGGCCTTGGAGAGACACGCCGCCGTCCGTCCTAACGCGCCGGCCATTCACGCCTGGGACGGCTCGATGACGTACCAGGAGCTCGACGTCGCTTCGACGGCGTTGGCAAGCCACCTCGTCTCCTTTGGCCTTGGAAAAGGGGACTACATTCCTTACTGTTTCTCTAAGTCTGTTTGGACAACTGTCGCTATGATGGCTACCCTCAAGATGGGAGCCGTCAGCGTCGCCCTCGAGCCGTCGCATCCGGACTCGAGCATCTCAAAGGTGCTGTCCCAAGTCAACCCTAAACTGGTGCTGTGCTCGAGAGACTTCTGTCCCAGACTCCAATCTTTGGGACAGGGATCATTGGCGATCGACGGCCAATCCATCAGCGACTTCATCCGCTCAAACACAGCTTCCGCTCGGCAGAGCCATGCCGTTCAGCCTGACGACACAGCCTTTGTCGTCTTCACGTCGGGATCCACCGGCGAGCCCAAGGGCATCCCCCTGGCCCACGGAGCCGTGTGCATCATGGCAAAGCAGCACGGCGACGCCATGAACATCGACAAAAGCTCCCGGATACTTCAGTTTGCAGCGCACGTCTTTGACGTCAGCATCGGCGACCTCGCCATCGCCGTCTTCCACGGGGCATGCCTATGCGTGCCCTCCGACCACGACCGGATGAACGACCTCGCGAGCGCCATCAACTCGCTTTCCGCCAACCGCGCCTGGCTGACCCCGACCGTGGCGGCGCTCATCTCCCCGGCCGAGTGCCCGACGATGGAGTGGCTGTCCGTCGGCGGCGAGCAGCTGACGCAGGCCTGCAAGGACATCTGGGCCGGCGTCCCGCTCGTCAACGTCTACGGCCCCGCCGAGGTCACCAACCTCGGCACGGCGGTGCGGGTGTCGCCGGACCTGCCCATCACCAACATCGGGCGCGGGAACGGCGCGCGCGTGTGGATCTGCGAGCAAGGTAACCCCCAGAAACTGGCGCCCGCTGGGTGCATCGGGGAGATTGTGTTTGAGGGCCCCAATGTGTCTCGAGGGTATCTAGGCAACCCGAAACTAACTGCAGATGCCTTCCCCGAGGTCTGCAGCCGCGACGGGAGGACGGTGCGGATGTACCGCACCGGTGACCTCGGCCGGCTCAATGCGGATGGGTCGATTGACTTCAAGGGAAGGAGGGACACGCAGATCAAGCTGCGCGGCCAGAGGATCGAGATCACGGCCGTCGAGGGCGCGCTACAGGCGGCCGTCGATGAGCCCGTCGAGTTGGCGGTGGACATCCTCGCTGGGTCCGATGATGGCCGAGACTCCTCCCTTGTTGCGTTCCTGTACCTCCCCGCGCGACTTACTGATGCTACTAACGACGAATCTGCAGGAATCTTTAGTACCATCGACCTCAAGGCGCTGGCCCTCGAGATCCGGTCGTGCGTCTCGCTCGTGCTGCCGCCGCATATGATCCCGGCGCTATTCATCCCCCTCAACCGGCTCCCCAAGCTGGTGTCGGGCAAGATCGACCGGAAGACGCTGCGTCTCGCCGCGGCGAGGCTTACGGACGAGCAGATCGGCTCTTTCAAGCTTGATCAGACCACGGAGAAACGACACCCTACAACCGAGGCCGAGGTGGCGATGCAGAAGATGTGGGCTACCGTCCTCCGCCTGCACGAGTCCGACATTGGCGTCGACGACAACTTCGTTAGCCTCGGTGGAGACTCGATAAGCGCTATCAAGCTTGTGGCTCATGCAAGGACTCAGGGGTTGCGTATCACCGTCTCGTCAATCTTCGAACACGGCACTATTTCCCTCCTTTGTGCTTCATCCGGGACGCCAGAGCCTGCCCAGGCCGCAACCCCAGTGTCGGCCATCTCGGTTGATCAGATGAAGCCGTCGGATATCACTGACATTGCCCTTCAGTGTGGCATATCCGAGCATCAGATCGAGGATGTTTACCCCTGCACGGCGCTCCAAGAGGGGATGCTGATGCTGACGGAGAAGAACCCAACCGCCTACATCGCCCACCACGTTATGGAGCTCCCGGCATGGGTTGACGTTTCGGTATTCCGCCGCGCGTGGGAGGCTGTCACCAGCGAGAACGCCATCCTGCGAACCAGGGTTGTACCGGCGGGCTTGCAAGTCGTCCTCCAACCGAGTCCGCTCCAGTGGGAGACAACTTCTTCCGACGATCTCGCTACATATATGCAGGACGCTCGCAAAACCCCGATGGGATTCGGGACACCCCTCAGCCGGCAGACGATACTCAACAACCCCAAGCGTTTCGTCTGGACCGCACACCACTCCATCTACGACGGCTGGTCCATGCCACTGGTCGCCGACGCAATCACGAAGACATACATGAAACTCAGCAAGCCCGGAATTCCTCTGGAGCCCCCACATCAGGACTCGGCAATCAGCTTCCGGACCTTCGCCGACTGGGTCTCGAGGGTCGACAAGGAGCAGGCGAAGGAATTCTGGCGCAGCCAACTCGACGGCGCAGATGCCGCGCACTTCCCTCCCAGCCTGCCATCTTCCTACGAGCCGCTTGCCGACTCAATGGTGGAGCAGAAGATGGCCTTCTTCCGCGACGCGAAGTCCACGACGACAACTTCGACCATCATCCGGGCGGCCTGGGCCATCTTGATCTCGGCTTACTCCGGGTCGCACGCCGACGTTGTTTTCGGATCCGCCGTCACGGGAAGGAGCGTCCCCATCGATGGCGTGTTGACACTGATCGGGCCGACCCTTGCCACCGTTCCCGTCCGGGTGGTCCTAGACCCGAAGCAGCCCGTCCGGGACCTCCTCGCCAAGCTCCAGCAACAATCCGTTGCGATGCTGGAGTTCGAGCAGTACGGACTGCAGAACATCCGGAAGTCAGCCACGGGAGCACCGGCAGCCTGCGACTTCCAGAGTCTTCTAGTCGTGCACGCCGAGGCCGAGCCCTCGACGGCAGAGACGAGCTTCTCCTGGAGCGAGGAGCGATCCGACGTAGACTTCCTCACCAACGCGCTGACCCTCGAGTGCCAACCGGCGGGGTCCTCGCTGGGCCTGACCGCCTCGTACGACTCCTCTCTCATGGACGAGCGGCAGATGCGGCGCATGCTCGCGACCTTCGAGCACATCCTCCGCCAGCTCTGCGACGACCGGCGGGGCGACAAGCTGGTGGGCGACCTCGACACGATCAGCCCCGGCGACAGGGCCGAGATCGCAGACATCACCCGCGACCTCCCGCGCCGCGTCGAGGCCCGCGTCCACGACATGTTCGCGCGCCAGGCGGCGGCCACCCCGGACGCCACGGCCGTCTCCGCGTCGGACGGCGACTTCACCTACGCGCAGCTCGACAGCCTGTCGACGAGGCTGTCGCACCGCCTCCGGGCCCTCGGCCTGGGCCCCGAGTGCTTTGCGCCGTTCTGTTTCGAGAAGTCGAAATGGGTCCCCGTGGCGCTGCTGGGTATCCTCAAGGCTGGGGGTGCGTGTGTACCCCTGGACCCGGCGCAGCCCCTGGACCGGTTGCAGGTGATCCTTGGAACTCTCCAGGCGCGCATAGTCCTTACTTCCTCGACGCACGCCCGTCTCCTGGAGGGCTGTGCTGGTATCGAGCACTTTGTCGAGGTCTCGGCGGAGGCGCTGGACCAGCTTCCTGCCACTGACGGACACATCGGTGCCGGGTCCGAGCCGTCGCCGAGCTCCGCGTGCTACGCCATCTTCACGAGCGGCAGCACGGGAACGCCCAAGGGAGTTGTCTGGGACCACGCAACGCTCTGCTCCAGCATGACCGAGCACGGCGCAGCCTTCAACTACTCGACCGAATCGCGGGTTCTTCAATTCGCCTCGCACACCTTCGACGTCAGCGTATCAGAGCTACTGACGACGCTCGTCTTCGGCGGCTGCCTGTGCATCCCCGACGACTTCACGCGGATGAACCGCATCTCCGAGTTCATCAACGAGCAGCGCGTCAACTGGGCCTTCTTCGCGCCCTCGTTCGCGCGCCTGCTGGACCCGGCCACCGTCCCGGGCCTCCGCACCGTCGTGCTGGGCGGCGAGGCCCCCGGCAAGGACAACATAGAGCGCTGGTCGGGCCGCCCGGGGCTCGAGCTCATCGTGACCTACGGCCCGGCCGAGAGCTGCATCTACTGCGCCAAGAACAGCGTCGGCGCCGGCCCGCAGGTAGACGGCAGCATCGGCCGCTCCATCGGCGGCGTCATGTGGATCGCCGACCTTGGGCGGCCCTCCGCTCTAGCTCCCGTGGGCGCCGTCGGCGAGATCGCCGTGGAGGGCGCGATCCTGGCGCGCGGCTACCTCGGCGACGCGGCCAAGACGGCGGCCTCATTCCGGCCCATGCCTCGGGGCTGGGCGGGCGGGCGCAGCGACCGCATCTACTACACGGGCGACCTGGGGCGCGTCAACTCGGACGGGTCCATCAGCTGCCTCGGGCGCCGCGACGACCAGGTCAAGATCCGCGGCCAGCGCGTCGAGCTCGCCGACATCGAGTACCACCTCCGCAAGGACGCGCGCGTCCGCCAGGCCCTGGTGCTGTACCCGCGCGCCGGGCCGTGCGCCGACCACCTCGTCGGCGTCCTCTCCGTGCTCAGCGACGCCGAGGTGCGCGACGGCTCTGCGCCGCGCCCGCCCGCCTCGTCGGCCGATATCAGCATGGCGCAACCCGAGGCGTGGGCATCGACCGTCGACGTGCAGGAGCGGCTCGTGCAGAAGGTGCCTGCCTACATGGTGCCGTCGGTCTGGATCGTGCTCGACTCTGTCCCGCTCATGCCGGCGTCGCAGAAGGTCAACCGCAAGATGGTCGCTGAGTGGACGCGCCTGATGGACCGGCAGACCTATGAGCACATCGCGGGCCTGTCGGCTGGGCAGCAGGCCGCTGAGGCTGTGGCTGCGCCGAGCGATGAGCTTGAGGTGCGGGTCCGTGGCCTGTGGAGCGCGGTGCTTAATGTCGGGGTGGACATCATCGGCCCTAACACGTCGTTCCTGCGCGTCGGTGGCGATTCTATCTCGGCTATGCAGATCATCGCTCGCTGCCGCAATGAGGGGATCCATGTCACCGTCCAGGACCTCCTGAAGGCGAGGACGTTGGCCGAGTTCTGCGATCGCGCAAGGGCTTCGATGACGACGCCGCAGGCGGGGCTCGACACCCTGATTGAGGAGGCCGAGGACGACACCGAGACCCCCTTCGCGCTGTCGCCGATCCAGGCGTGGTTCATGAAGCTGGCCCCCGAGGGCGAGAACTACTTCAACCAGAGCCATCTCCTACGCTTCACCGAGGAGGTCAGCTTCAAGGACCTCGAAGCCGCCCTCCTGCTTATTGTCCAGCGCCACTCGATGCTCCGGGCTCGATTCCAGACCACCGACGATGGGCAGTGGCAGCAGTACATTTCCGCAGACGCCGGCGCGGCGCTGCAGTGCCGCCTGTTCCAGTCGGTCACGATGAAGAAGGCCGCGTCGTACGCGCTCAACGCCCAGGCGGGTCTGGACATCGTCCATGGGCCCCTCGTGGCGGCAGACATGTACAAGATGACCGACGGGACTTCGGCCCTGTTTGTCACTTGCCATCATCTTCTCGTTGATCTCGTCTCCTGGCGCATCATCCTCCAGGAGCTCGAGGAGATCCTTCGCGACGGGAAGTTGGCCACGGACCGGAAGCCGCTGTCGTTCCGCACCTGGTGCAAGCTGCTAGACGAGCACACCAAGTCGTTGGCCACTGAGGAGAACATACTCAATGATATCCCCGCATCTAATTTCGAGTTCTGGGGTGTGTCTGCCGACGACAACCTGGCGGCACACGTCGTCGAGAAGAGCTTTCGGCTGGATGAGCAGGCAACGCAGCTCCTGCTAGGACAGTCCAACGAGGCCTTCAACACGGAGCCCCTCGACATTCTCCTCACCGCCGTTGCCCACTCATTCAACCAAGTCTTCCGAGACGTCCGCGGCCCGATCTCCGTCTTCAACGAGGGCCACGGCCGTGAACCGTGGAGGCCCGACATCGACCTCTCCTCAACAGTGGGCTGGTTCACGTCCATGTGCCCTATCCTCCTCTCCGACCACGGAGATGACGCCCTACGTTCGCTACGGGAGGTAAAGGACTTCCGTCGCCGAGTCCCGGAGAAGGGGTTACCGTTCTTCTCGTCATTCGCTCGGGAGGCCTCGTCGGCGGTGGAGGTCACCTTCAATTACTTCGGGCTGTACCAGCAGCTCGAGCGAGACGGGGCGCTGCTCAACCGGATGAGCTGGGGGACGGTAAACCAGCCGTCCGACCAGTCTCCCGAAGTCCCCCAATTCTCGCTCTTCGACGTCTCCGCCGGCGTCGAGAACGGCCTCCTCTCGATCAACTTTGCATTCAACAACAAGATACAGCACCAGGACCTTGTGCAGAGATGGATTGAAGCCTGCTCCAAGACCCTCAGCTTGCTCATCGAAACCACGAGCCAGCAAGAGGAACCGACGCTCACACTCAGCGACCTCCCACATCTCCCCGCGACGTACGACGAGCTTTCGGAGATGCTCACAACTACTCTCCCGAAAGCCGGTGTGTTGACGGGTAATATCCAGGACATTTACCCCTGCTCGCCCATGCAGACGGCACTGCTCGTCAGCCAGGCCGTGGATGCTTCGCTGTACTCCGTCAGATATGTCTGGGAGGTTGTCCCGCGATCGTCTGAGCGGGCTTCGCTAGAACGCATGGTCGAGTCGTGGAAGCAGGTGGTCACACAGCACCCGATGCTCCGCACCGTGTTTGTGCAGGGTGTCGCGTCTGGCGAGGGCAAAAAGACGTCAGTCTACAACCAGGTTGTCCTCAAGGAGCTCAGGCCGGGCGTCACCATCTGCGAGGATGAGACATCGTTCCCTCTTGGCCGACCCGAGGATCACATCCAGAGCGGTGCACCCCATCACCTGGTCGTCTGCCAACAAGCCTCGGGGACGCTGTTGGTCCAACTCGACATCAGTCACGCCCTCATCGACGGGACATCGGTCAACATCCTTCTCGACCACCTGATCAAGGCCTACGATGGCACACTCACCGCCGCAGCTGCTGTCAACTCGGACTGCTACGCAAACTACGTCACTTATCTAAGGCGCCAGGACCTCGAAGCATCCCGCAGCTTCTGGAAGGAGTACCTCGGCGGCTCGCAGCCATGCCATTTCCCCAGCCTACGAACCACAGAACAACCTACCGAGGGCAGCCCAGCTACACGGAAGCTAGAGTACCTCGACTTCACCTACCACTCTCCCGCGCGCCTGCACTCGTCCTGCACCAAGGCCGAGACAACAGCGGCGAGCGTGTACAAGCTCGCGTGGGCGCTGCTCCTCCGAGCCTACACGGGCGACAGCTCCCCGTGCTTCGGCTACCTTGCGTCGGGGCGAGACCTGCCCATCAACGGGATTGAGGGCTCGGTCGGGCCTTTCATCAACATGCTCGTGTGCAAGATCTCCCTGGAAGAGGACGAGCTGGTTGAGACCGTCCTCCGCGGCGCGCATGCCGACTACGCCAACTGCTTGTCCCACCAGGTCTGCTCGCTGGCGGAGATTTTGCGGGGTCTGCAGCTGGGAGGGACGGGACTGTTTAATACTGTCATGTCCGTCCAGAGGCATCTGCCGCCGGGGACGGATGTGTCCAAGGTTGACTTCCAGCCTGTTCATGTCGAGGATCCGAGTGAGGTATGTTTATTAGATGAAACGCAACTTGGACGCGAATCACCTGCTAATCATCGCTTTCTGTCCAGTTCGATATCGTGCTCAACATCGGAGACTCGGCCGACTCTGTCGACGTCAGCCTGACTTACAACACTGCCCTGCTGTCCGGCGCTCAGGCGAAACGCCTCGGCTCCGCGTTCACTCGCGCCATCGACGGTGTTCTGGACTCGCTCACCAAGCGGGTCAACAGCGTTGATCTCATGACACCCGAAGACCACCAACAAGTCGTCGAGTGGAACAGCACCACCGAGGTGGGAGCAGTTTCTGCACTCTGCGACGACCTTATCAGTAAGAATCTCGCATCGAGAGCAGCCAAGCCAGCCGTATCCGGCTGGGACCTCTCGATGACGCATTCCGAACTGGACGATCTCACGACAACACTGGCGGACCACCTCGTGTCGACATACGCCCTCACCCCCAACACCATGGTCCCCTTCTGCTTCGAGAAGAGCGCCTGGGCCATCGTTGTCATGCTCGGCATCATGAAAGCCGGCGCCGCGTTCGTGCCGCTGGACCCGCAACACCCCATCGACAGGCTCGCGCAGATCGTGCAGAGAGTGCGCGCACCGCTGATCATCTGCTCCGAGAAGAACGCTCTCATGTGCCGAAGCCTCGGCTCCGATGTCCCGCAGCTCGTGGTCGGCCCGGGAATAATGGCAACCATCAAGAGCGCAAGCGCAAAGACCACCATGGCAAGCAGCGTCAAGGCCACTTCCCTCCGGCAGGCCCGAAACCCTTCCGACCTCGCCTACTGCCTCTTCACCAGCGGCAGCACAGGGACACCCAAAGGCGTCCTAATCCAGCACCGCGCCCTATGCAGCAGCGCAACAATGCACGGCCGCGCCTTCGGCTACAGCGCCGACAGCCGGTCTGTGCAGTTCGCATCATACGCCTTCGACGCGTGCATCGCCGAGATCTTCACGACGCTCATCTGCGGCGGGTGCGTGTGCGTGCCCTCGGACGCGCAGAAGATGGACCCGGAGCGCCTGGCGGCCTTCATGGCGGCCGAGCGCGTCAACATCAACTTCTTCACGCCATCGTTCCTGGCCCTGCTCGACCCGGCCGCGATCCCCGACCTGACCACCCTGCTCATCGGCGGGGAGGCCGTCGGGGCCCAGCTCGTCGATCGCTGGATGGCGCCGCATCGCCGCGTCGCTGTTGCGTATGGCCCGACCGAGTGCTGTGTCTATTGCGTGGGTTACGACTGCACCGATTACGGCGGCCTGCCGCCCGGGAAGAATATGATCGGCACCGCCGTCGGAAGCGTCTCGTGGATCGGCGACGCGCGCGACAGCAACCGTCTCGTCCCCATTGGCGCTGTTGGCGAGCTGCTGGTCGAGGGCCCTATCCTGGCCAAGGGATATCTCGACGACGAGGCCAAGACTGCTGCCGTGTTCGTCAGGCCGAGGTGGATGGGCGGTGACCGGGTGGCGTACCGGACGGGAGATCTCGTGCGGTACGCCGAGGACGGGAATATTGAGTACCTCGGCCGCCGCGACGACCAGGTCAAGCTAAGGGGACAGAGGCTTGAGCTGGGCGAGATCGAGCAGCAGCTTGTTGCGCAGCCTGATGTGCAGCAGTGTGTTGTCCTGCTGCCGAAGCAGGGGCTCTGCGGGCAGAAGATCGTTGCCGTCTTGACGTTTGCGTCCGGCGGTGACTCGGCCTCGCGTGTTGCTGGCACAATCACCCCGTCGACGGCGGCTGGCTCCGAGGGAGGACTGCGGGCTCTTGCCGGCGAGTCGGTGTCGACTAGGCTGGGCAAGATCTGCCAGTCCGTCGCCGGCACGCTGCCACCCTACATGGTTCCGACATGCTGGGTCGTCACCGACAACCTGCCGCTGCTGCCGTCGGGCAAGGCTGATCGCCGCTTCATCGCAGGCTGCGTCGCCAACATGGATGAGGAGATGCACCAGCTCTCCGTCGACCTGGTTTCGGCGGATGGTGGTGCAGGTGGTCGTAGTTCCGCCGCGGAGGAGGCGGCCATGACGCCCGTCGCCGAGACGCTGCGTCAGGTGTGGAGCGCTGTGCTCAACATCCCCGAGACACGCATCAACCCCGCGGCAGGCTCGTTCATCCGGATGGGTGGCGACTCCATCAGTGCCATGGAGGTCGTCGCGCAGTCCCGCGCTCAGGGAATACCGCTGCTGATCGAGAACCTCCTCAAGGCGACCTCTGTCAACATGTTGGCTTCAAGCATCGAGCTGGCCAACCCGTCTCTGAACTCGGGATCTGCAACCGGTGGTGTGGGTAAGGGTGCTGGTGTCCAGGACTTCGATGACGACGAGGAGGGCGAGGAGAGGATCGTCCTGTTTGGCTTGTCGCCTATCCAGCGCATGTTCGCGAAGCTCTCTCCGGGAGAGAACCACTTCAACCAGAGCTTCCTCCTCAAAGTCTCCACCGACCGAGCTAGGGTTTCCGAAGGGGACGTCCGCAAGGCACTGAATGTCATCGTCCGGCGGCACGCAATGCTGAGGGCGCGTTTCCAGAGGCTTGGCCGGTCGTTCAAGCAGTGGATCGAGCCCGCTATCGAGGACTCGTACACGTTCCGGTCATGGAATATCGCCAAGTCGACACCTTTCCCCGCCGAAGCAGCAGAGAAGATGGAAGCAACCCAGCAGCTGGTGGATATCGCCGACGGACCCGTATTTGCGGGCGACATGTTCAACGCCGGCGACGAGCAGTACATCTTCCTGACGGCGCACCACCTGGTCGTGGACCTGGTGTCGTGGCGAATCATCCTCAAGGATCTGGAAGACTATCTCACGCAGGGTTCCATCTCGAGCTACCGGAGCCTGTCCTTCGAGAAGTGGTGCGGTCTCCTCAACAACCACCGCAAGGCACTTCTCGAAGCCCCTGCCAAAACCCACCTTCCCTTCGAGGTTCCGAAGTCTGACTACAACTTCTGGGGCATGGCCGGCAAGCCAAATTACGCCGCAGATTTCGAGCACCATCAGTTCACCCTGTCTTCCGATGCATCGCGGGCTCTTCTTGGCCCCTGCAACGACGCGTTCGGGACCGAGGCCCTGGACCTGTTCATCTCTGCCGTGATGCACTCATTCGCAGCAGCATTTCCGGGCCGCGAGATTCCCCCGATCTACAATGAGGGCCACGGAAGAGAGCCGTGGGAGGATTCGCTTGACCTCTCGAGGACAGTCGGCTGGTTCACCACCATCGCTCCGGTGTGGATCAGCGGGCGAGACTGCAGCGAAGACGTCCTCCAGTACGTCAAGCAAGTCAAGGACGTCCGACGGAAGATCCCCAGCAAGGGCTTTTCCCACTTCACCTCGCTTGATCTTGAGCGGGAGCCATTCAATATTGAGGTATCGTTCAACTACTTCGGATCGTTCCAGCAGCTCGACCGCTCGGACGCGCTCCTCAACCAAGTCCACTGGCGGAACATCGGCGTCGACCCCTGCGAGGTCAGCGAGGAGCACAAGAAGTTCTCGCTCGTCGACATCGCTGCCGAGAATGAGAACGACCGGCTCGTCTTCACCTTCAGCTTCAACAGCAAGATTCAGCACCAAGATGACGTCCACCGGTGGATCAAGAGCTGCCAGGAGAGTCTCGAGCATATCTCCCGAACACTCGATTCCCGCGAGTCGGAGCACACCATCACCGACTTTGACCACCTCCCGCAGGACTACGACCTGCAGGCGCTGCGCGATTCGACGTTCAAAGACTTGGGTATTGTCGAGGCCAACGTCTCGGACATCTACCCGTGCTCTCCGATGCAGCAGGGTATGCTCCTCACCCAGAGCAAGGACCCGGAGATGTACTGGTTCAGGTCAGTCTACGAGGTACGGTCTGGAACAAACAAACCCGTTACACCTGCTGGACTGCGCCAGGCCTGGAAGGCCGTCGTGCAGCGCCACCCCATCCTGCGGACTGTCTTCATCGAGCAGAACTCAACCGACGGCCTCTACGACCAGCTAGTACTCCGCGACTGCGAGCCTGACGTCTCCGAGGTCGAGCTGGGTGCCATCCATAGCAACGACAAAGAGCTACTCTCCCAACTGAAGATCGACTCCGTCCCGCCCGAGCTGCAAGCCTTCCGCAAGCCGCAGCACCAGCTCCGCATCTTCCACCAGGCGGCCACGGGGAGGATCTTCTGCAGCTTCCTGATCAGCCACGCCATCATCGACGGAAGCTCCATGGGGATCATAATGCGCGACCTCGGGCTTGCCTGCGAAGCCAAGCTCGTGGACACCGAGCCACTACTGTACAAGAACTACATCACGTACCTCAAATCCCGCGACCACGCCGCCGACGTCAACCACTGGAAGCGGACGCTCGAGGGCGTCGACCCCTGCCTCCTCCCCGCCGACGCCGACGCAAACTCCTCGGCCAGGACCATGGGCCGGGCGGGCGTGCCGCAAGACCGCGGCGTCTACGGAGGGATGCAGGGCGTCGCGCGCCGGCTGGGCGTGTCGCCGTTCACGCTGCTACAGGTCACCTGGGCGCTGACGCTGCGCGAGCACGTCAACCCGGACCGCGACGACTGCTGCTTCGGCGTCGTCACGTCGGGGCGGGATTTGCCTGTCGACGAGATTAGTGACATTGCTGGGCCGTTTGTCAATATCCTCGCGTCGAGGGTGGCGTTGCCGCATGACGAGCCTGTGTCGAGGATCGCGGAGGCGGTCCATGGTGGGTTTATCGATAACTTGGCGCACCAGACGGCTTCGCTGGCTGAGGTTATGCATGAGATTGGGTCTGGGCCGCTGTTTAATACTGGGATGACGCTCCAGAAGATGGGCGCGGGTTCGAAGGACTCGGGCGTCTCGTTCCATGCTCTGGGAGGGGAGGATCCTACTGAGGTATGTTTTTGACCATGATCTATTCCTGTGTGTATGTGTGTGTGCGAGATTTTGGGACTAACTAAGTGTGTACCACAGTTCGATATGGTTGTCCATGCCATCGACGACGGTGAGGCGATGCATATCCACTTGAGCTACTGGTGCGACAAGATTTCCGACACCCGCGCCAACGAGATGGCACGTTGCTTCTCCTCTGTGCTGTCGCAGATAATCCAGCGCCCGGATATCACACCGGTCAACCTACACATGGCCTCGGACAAGGACGTCGAGCAGCTATGGTCCTGGAACGCGACACTGCCGCAACCCTCGGAGAAGCGCATCGAGGAGATGATCGCCCAGCAGGTCGCCGACCACCCAACCAGGGAGGCGCTCTGGTCTACCGACGAGACCCTCAGCTACCAGCAGCTCGACCTTCTCTCGACAAGACTTGCCCGGAGCCACCTTGCCGACGTGGCCCGCGAAGAGATCGTCCCGCTCTGCTTCGAGAAGTCCATCTGGGTTGCTGTTGCGATGGTAGCCGTCCTCAAAGCCGGAGGCACCGTCGTGCTCATGGACCCATCCCACCCAGTCGAGCGCCTCAAGTCCATCGTCGGGACCGTCAAGGCGAGGCTGATCCTCGCATCCCCGACTCAGACGGACCTGTGCTCCAAGAGCCTCGGTATCCGGACCGTGGCCGTCTCGAAAGCAAACTTCAACCGCCGATCGAGCATGCCCGGGACCCCGACGCGGGCGATGATGGCCAGACAGAAGCAAAAGCCCAGCGCCACCGACGCCGCCTACGTGGTCTTCACCAGCGGCTCGACAGGCACACCCAAGGGCTCGGTAACCGAGCACCGGTCCTTCTGTACCGCGACACAGGGCTACCACGAGGCAATCGGCCAGCTCCCCGGCACACGCGTGCTGCAGTTCGCGTCATACAGCTTCGACGCCAGCATTCTCGAGATCCTCGGCTCACTCATGGTAGGCGCGACAGTATGCGTGCCAAGCGAAACCGAGCGATCCAACCAGCTAATCCCCTTCATCAACCGGTCGCGCGTCAGCTTCGCCGTCATAACGCCGACGGTAGCCTCCCTCCTAACCCCTGACGACGTCCCCACGCTGACCTGCCTCGCGCTGTGCGGCGAGCCCATGACGGCCGCGCACATCGCGCGGTGGGCGGACCGGGTGCGCCTCGTCAACGCCTTCGGGCCCAGCGAGTGCTGCGTCGGCAGCGCGGCCAACCGGCGCCTGGGCGCGGCGTCGAGCCCAAAGTGTATCGGCTGGGCCGTCGCGTGCTGCTACTGGGTTGTGCACCCGCGCAACCACGACCGGCTCGCGCGCGTCGGAAGCGTGGGTGAGCTGCTTATCGAGGGGGACATCCTTGCCCGCGGATACCTTGGTGAGGAGGCTAAGACTAGGGAGGCGTTCATTAGTACTCCGCCGCAGTGGGCGAGGCCCGGGAGAGCTGTTAGGTTGTATAAGACGGGGGATCTGGTGCGACAGGACCCTGTGGATGGGTCGTTCCATTATGTTGGGAGGAAGGATACGCAGGCCAAGATCCGTGGCCAGAGACTTGAGTTTGGAGACATCGAGCAGGCGTTCCGGGAGGTTGTCCCGGAGAGTGAAACCGTCGTTGCTGAGATTGTTCAGCCTGAGGGCCAGCAGTCGCGGCTGGTGGTCTTCGTCTCCGGCAAGGGCGACATTATCGACGTCGACACCGCCGCGATCCAGTCCGAGATGGCCAAGAAGATACCCGCCTACATGGTCCCGTCTACCGTCATCCCGCTGGAACAGATGCCCCTCATGCCCTCCGGCAAGGTCGACCGCAAGAAGATCCGGGCCCTCGGCGCCGCCGCCCTACCAACGACAACACGGCGCGGGAAGAGGGCCGGCCGCGCCCCGGAGACTGAGATGGAGATCGAACTCGCCGGTCTCTGGAAGGACGTGGTGAAGGGAGACACGAATCAGATCCTCGCCGACGACAGCTTCTTCCAGGTCGGAGGCGATTCGTACACGGCCATGAAGCTGGTGACGGAGGCGAGAGCGCGGGGCATTGCGCTGAGCGTCTCGATCGTCATGCAGACGCCCAAGCTGGCAGACATGGCGCGCAAGGCGACTCGGACTTCTGATAACGGCAAAGACAACAAGACACACAGCACCGGCTCCCAGGCCACCGCGCCCTTCAGCATGGTCCAGTGGACACCGGCACTCAAGGCCGAAGTATCCAGACAATGCAGCGTCGCAGCCGACGAGATCGAGGATGTCTACCCCTGCACGCCGCTGCAAGAGGGCCTCTTCGTGCTCTCAGTAAAGCAGCCCGGCTCCTACGTGGCGCGACACTGCTACCGGCTATCCCCAGAGCTCGACCTAGCCCGCTACCAAGAAGCATGGCGCACCGTCTACTCATCCAGCGCGATCCTGCGCACGCACATCGTGCAGCTCGACAACGCCGGCGGGCTCGCAGACCGGCGATCGGGGCTCTACCAAGCCGTCATCAAGAAGCCGCTGACCTGGCACCGCGCGGACTCCCTCGCCGCCTACCTAGCAACACAGCCCCTCCCCTCGCTCGGCACCGCCCTCGCCGACTTCGCCATCGTCGAGGAGACAACCACCACCACCGACAGGGCGGCGCGCTACCTGGTCCTGACGATGCACCACGCCGCCTACGACGCCGCCTCGCTGCAGATGCTCCTCCGCAGCGCCGAGGCGGCGTACACGGGGGGCGGCCGCGAGGTCCGGCCCGCCCCGTTCAGGGAGTTCATCAAGCACCTGTCCGGCACGCGCGGGCAGGCGACGCGGGACTTCTGGACGCGCTACCTCGACGGCGCCCGGGCCGCGTCCTTCCCGTCGGTGCCGGCCGGGTACGTGCCGTGCGCGGACTCGACGTTCGAGCGCGACCTAGCCGTCCCGGCGCCGAGGTCGGGGGCGTCGCATACCCTGGCCACGATGATCCGCGTGGCGTGGGCGGCTGTCCTGGCCCGCCGAGACGGTACCGACGACGTGGTCTTTGCGGAGACCCTTGGTGGGCGCAACGATTCCCTCGCTGAGGCCGAGGGACCCATGATTGCGACCGTGCCGGTGAGGTGCCGCCTTGGTGGACCCGGTGCTGGCGTTGGGGATGTGCTGTCGGCTGTGCAGGCTGGTCTGGTGGATATGATCCCCTTCCAGCATGCTGGTCTGCAGAATATCCGCCTCATGGGCGCTGGGGCGGCGGCGGCGTGTGACTTTGCTTGCCTTGTCACTATTGCTACGCCTGATGCTGGTGCGGCGCCCGAAGCGGGGGATGGGATCGGGGTCGTGCCTGTTGAGGGACCGAGCTCGCCGGCGATGGATTACCCTATGTCGGTGCAGTTTGTTGTCCGGGGTGGGGGTGTGTTGACCGTGTCTGTATGCCATGACGCCCGGCTGGTAGGCGATGTGAAGATGCGGGGGATGGTCGAACAGTTTGCTCTTGTGCTCGAGCAGCTGTGCAAAGGGGAGAGGAAGACGATGGGAGAGATTGAGATGGGAATTGGGGAGGAGATTGTGGAGGAGGAGATTGTCGTCGGGGAGTTCAAGGCCGACGCCTTGGGGGTGCTTGGTAGAGGGATTGTGGAAAATCCCGAGGAGATCTTGACGCAACAGCTGGTCAAGGCTTCGTCCCCGGCCGAGGTAGCGCGTCAATGCCCCGCCGCCGGTAACATGGAGCAGGAGATGCGAGCGCTCTGGGCTGGCCTCCTCGGGGTGGATGCGGAGGAGCTAGCCCCCGAAGACAACTTCTTCCAACTCGGCGGCGATTCCATCAGCGCCATGCGACTCGTCACTGCCGCGGAGCAAAAGCAGATCAAGATCACGGTCGCCGACATATTCCACCACCCGACCCTTGAGGACATATGCGCATTCGCATCGCAGGCCAACGCACTAGTCGCCGAGCCAGCTGCACTCGCGTTGGCGGCACTTCCCGACTACGAGCCGTTCGTCGTGCTCGACCACCTGGGCCTCGAACGCGAGGAAGTCGTCGACGCCGTGTGCAGGCAGCTCTCGGTGTTCCCCGGCGACGTCGAGGACGTGTATCCGGCCACCGACTACCAGGCGTGGGCCGTCAGCCACGGGCTAATGCGGTCCCGCGGCAACACCAACTACTTCCTCTTCCGGCTGCACGGCGACCTCGACACGTTCCGGCTCGAGCAGGCGTGCCGGAAGATGGTGGCGTCGAACCCGATCCTGCGCACCCTCTTCACCACCATCGGCAGCCAGGTCATGCAGGTGGTGCTGCGGTCGTACCAGATCGAGTTCCAGCGCTACGGAAGGGAGCACCTTGCCGACGACGCCTTCATCCGCTGGCTCGTCGAGCAGGACACCCAGCGGTCGACGTACCTGTCGCAGTCCATCGTGCGCTTCAAGCTGCTCCGCCACACCGAGGGCCACTACGTGCTGGTCATGCGCGTGTCGCACGCCCAGTACGACGGCATGAGCCTCCCGCTGCTGTACCAGGACCTAGAAAAGTGCTACGGCGGCCACGAGCCGATGCAGCGCCCGTCCTTCGGCAGCTTCATCCAGGGGGCCACGGTCAGGGAGGAAAAGGCGGTCGGTTTCTGGAGTGAGCTGCTCGAGGGCTCGTCCATGACCGAGGTCGTGCAGCACTCGGGCCCGGCGTACAAATACAACGTCGACACGGTGCGCACGCGCACCATCCCGCCGATCCCCGTCAACGTGGCGGGCATGTCGCAGGCGACGCTGGTCAAGGCCGCGTGGGCGCTGGTGCTGGCCAAGATGTCCGGGCAGCGCGACGTCGTGTTCGGCAACCTCGTCTTCGGGCGCAACATGCCCGTGTCCGGCGTCGAGGACATCTCGGGCCCCTGCATCAACATGATCCCCGTGCGCGTGCGCCTCAACGAGATGGACAGCGTGTACGACCTCCTCGAGCTCGTCCAGGAACAGCAGCTGGCCGCCATGCCGCACGAGAGCCTCGGCTTCCGCCGCCTGATCAGGAACTGCACCAACTGGCCGACCTGGACGCGCTTCAGCTCCGTGGTGCAGCACCAGAACCTCGGCCGCGACGGCGCCCAGGAGTTCGCAATGGGCGACGACCTCAAGTGCGAGATGGGCGTGCTCGGCCCTGCCTACGACTCGTCCGACCTCTGGGTCCAGACCACCCCGCACGCCGACTCGTTCAACGTCGAGATCGGCTCCTGCAGCGCCGTCGTCTCCCCCGACATCGCCGAGATGCTCCTGGACCGCCTATGCGCCGTGCTGACCGTCTTCGCCGACGTCGGCTCCGGCGGCGACCGACACCTGTGGGAGCTCCTGGCGCGCGACCACGCGCCGCTGATCCCCATCAAGGCGTCCATCGTCGACGAGGTGTGGGCCAGCGTCCTGCCCGACGCGGCGGCCATCCCGTGGGACGCGCCGTACTACGAGCTCTGGGGCGACGAGATCGCGCCGGTGCGCTTCCTCGAGGAGTACGCCGAGCACGGCATCCACCTCGACATGGAGGACGTCATGGAGCACCCGACCAAGCAGGCGCAGATGATGCTGACGGCGCGCGTCCTCGCCGAGAAGGACGCGGCCCGCTCGTCGCGACGACGGCGGGAGAGCAGCCCTTCGTCGACCGCGTCCGCTTCCACCTCCACCGCCGCGTCGTCTCCACCGACCTCAGGATCTGGCCCGCCGGGCCGCAGCTTCTGGGTGCTGGACTCCAAGGCCGCGCCCGTGAGCAGCAACGCCAACAGCCGCGGCAGCTCGGCGCTGAGCTCGCCGCGCATCGGGTCGCCACGGATCGGGGCCTTTGCGCAGCAGCGCGGCGGCAGCAAGCCGGGACCCGGGCATAAGAGGGTGGCGCCGTCGCGCAGGGGCTCGTACTGGGACCTGCCGTCGGCGACGTCGTGGCTGGAGAAGAGCGCTTCGACGGTGAGCCTCAGCTCGCCGCCGCTGTCGTGGGGGGCGTCGACGACGAGGCAGAACACGGTGGGCGGGGGGGAGGCGGGGACGAGGCCGGGGATGGGATTGAGGAAGAGGAGTACGATTGAGTGGTGATTGGATGATACCCACTTGGGTGAAGGGCTGTCTGGAGGAAGAGACTTTTCTTTTGTTTTTCTTGTGTTTTGCTTGACTTTGGCTTTACTGTGGTGACGAATTTCCTTCACTTTCCTTTGTCGCGGGATAGCGATGAGCGTTGGTTTTAGCGTGGCGTTTATATAGACGAGCAGTAATTAATAACGAGTACACACTCTCATAAAACCCGTCTGCTTCATGTGCTTTCTCTCGAGATGGAAGATTGGGGCGGCGGCTCGGTATTCGGAATTCATTTAAGATACGTCTGTTCACCCCTACAGCCCCTCACTCAGCTCCCCAGTAGTATCGCTTGGCTCTCCATGCTCTCCACCAGTCTCTCCACCAACAACGAACCAGTCCCTGACCACAGCGGTACCTGCTTCAACCATCTCCCAGACCTCAGGCAGATAAGTCAACGGGTTCAGAACATAGCACCTCGCAGCCGGCCTCTCGGACGGCACATTCTTGATATGCCAGACATCCTTCGGGCTCACGGTCACCAGGTCATTGCGTGACGGGGACCAACCCAGTAGCAATATCAAGATCAAACGTGGCGCGCCTAAAACTCTCATAAGCAGCAACGGGCTGATACGACGGGACCTCATGGCCAGCCTGTTAGACGCGCGAGGCTGAGATTCCCACTCTGGCGGGTCATACCGACGACTCCGTCGACGGCGGTGACGAGGGGCGCGTACCCCGCCTCCACGAACGCCGACCGCCGGGCGTGCGGGATCGCCAGGCTGACGCGCTCGCCGCCGATCGAGCCGCAAACGTAGTCGCGGTCGCCATAAACGAGGTGCACCTTGACGCCGGCGTCGAGCACGTAGGCTAGGGAATCGAGGAAGCCGCCCAGGAGCATGTCGTGGCTGGTGAGGGAGTTGGCGGCCACGGCGCTAGAGACCTCGCTGTAGTTGACGGGGACGCCGAGGGCGGCGAGGACAGGGCCTTCGGTTAGGTAGCCGTACATGTGTGGCGACGGGAAGGGGTCGTTGGTGGGGCGGCTGATGTCGTAGAGGGCGTGGCCTTGTTGACTGTATGCGTTTATGACGGATTCGATGCACTCGTCGTTAACTTTGCCGAATATCTTAATCAGGTTCTTTTTCTCCTAGTTCAGTTGGACATGACCATGGCCCTTCAGCGCGTCCTGAAAGGCCAGGTGCTGGTCTCTGAAGCCCCCCGGGGCGTGTCCAGTTGTGCGTTAATTCATGCTGAGACGCACTGAAGACCTGGATACCGTAGGTCTTGTGGAGATATGGCGTTAGCACACAGTTCCCTGCACACAATAATATCTTATGAGGTGGCTCACGTTGTTATTCGGGAACCAAATGAGCTCTTCTCCTTGTATAAGGATGTCCACGAAAGCCATTGACAATGCCCAGTGCGCGGATATGAAGATAGCGTGCTCCCAGGTCCTCCAGGCTACTATTAGTAATCTTCTCGTTTTGCTTCTAGAAAAACCGTTGGAAGCCAGGCTCGTAGGGGCTACCATAACTCTCGGCCCCGGGGCTGATGCGGTTATCGCCAGGCTTATAGTGCGGGAACTCAAAGAACCAAGTCTGAGCGAAATGCCAGAGTGCGTGTGCAGCTTGTTCCGCCGTCTTGGCGGTCTGCGAGATGTCCTGGCTGGCGAAGGTGCGAGTGAGGGATGAGATGAGAACCACCGGCGAGACAGTCGGGTACAAAATAGATACAATAGTCGATACTCACCAAGGGATCGTCAATATCGGCGCGTCATTGCGCTGGTGACACGGAGCTGGGACGCGCTGCGTGATGGTGCACCTGCCTACTAAAGTTAGACGCATCACTTAGCAACTTCGAAGCAAAAGCTCTCACGCTATCCCTCTACCATTCCCGATGCAGCGTTTGAGCCAAATGTGTTTTTCAGGTTTGTTTCAGCCAGCGGTTCGACCTGTTCCTTCCTCGTGGAGTTTCGGATCTCGGGGCCCCCATGCCCCCCACGCACAGGGTCCGTGCGTGCCAGACGCCAAGTTGTCCAGGAGGATCACGTGTCTGGCAGGAAGCTGAAAGAAAACGAAGAGCTGAGCAGAACTCAGCTGAGCCTCGAACACAGTACTAGATGTTGAAGTAGCGAAGGAAGCTCATCGAAAATGCGTGAATTGAAGTCCAAGTTGTTCAAGGACCGCCTTCGCTCCCTCATCCGCAGTAAAACCCCGGAGCGGAACACTGCCGAAGCTACTGGTGCGGGTCCGCCCGTCGAAGCCCCGCAACCTGAGACCAACAACAGTCGTGACACGGCGAACGCTGGCTCCCATCCGGATGCCCAGTCTCAGACGCCTCATGCCGGCGAGAATCGCCTATCACCAATCAATGACCGAGTCCCAGGACCAGTCGAGGCTAGAAACGACCCGCCATCCCCAGTCTTGCCAGAAGAACCCACAAAGGCCGGCATTTCATTTCGTCTGTGGAACGAGGCATACGACTCCATCGAGGAGAAACAGTCTGAACTGGTGGAAACTTATGAAAAGATCCTGAGCCAGCAGATTGCAGAAGGTATGCCGTACTGTGTCGTACGCACTGGAATTATAATCTAACCCCGCGTAATAGATGGTGCCCTCCGGGTGACGACGGGTAATGCATTTACCAACTGCACCGGACAGGAACGCCTCGCACTCATGAAGTCCGCGGTGGTAAAGTCGGTTGAAAGGGCAAACAGACACGAAAGCGTTAGAGACGGCATAATCGAAACTTCAGCGTTCATTGCGAATCTCAATAAGATACTGGGTGGCATCCTCGAGCCTTATCCGCCGGCTTCCATGGTATGGTCCGGTATATGTACCGTCCTCCCGGTGAGTTGCTGCTTTGGCCCTGGGAAACAGCTTCTCGTCGTCTGACACATCTTTAGATCCTCGTTAGCCCCTTCGTTGCCGACAAGGCCATGGCCGAAGGCCTTAGCCATATCATTTCTCGCATGGATTGGTACATGGACCTATCTAATGTCCTGCTTGAAGACAGCTGGGAAAGCAGCGCCGTCTTCTCAAAGCTCAGGGTCAACGTTGAGCAGAGGATTGTGGGTCTCTACGAGGCCCTGCTGCAATACGAAATGCAGAGCGTCGCGTACTGCTTCCACGACCACCCAGTCGTGAAAAGCATGAAGACGATACTTGGTTTCAACGATTGGGAGAGCCGCCGAAAATCCATCGACCAACTGGAAGCAGGCCTTGAGAAGGACCTGGACCAGTTCGCAAACCAGGAGATGGTCCAGCATCTTCGTGGCTTGTCACAGTCGACCGGCGATATCTCCCGGGGGTTTCTGCAGTTCTTCGAACATCAGCAGCAACTTCAGAGGCACGAGATTCTTCGTGAGCGAGCCGAGCGACGAAAGCACCAGAGCAGCATAACCGGCCAGTTTAAGACAACCCGCTATGAGGAGCAAATGAAGTTAAACCCAGATCGTGTTCCAGAAACATGCAAGTGGTTCCGACAGCACGAAAAGTTCAAGCAATGGCAGACAGAAAGCAACGGGCTTCTTCTCGTTTCGGCGGATCCTGGATGCGGGAAATCCGTCCTAGCTCGCTACCTAGTCGAGGATGTCCTGCCTTCCGATGATCCGGCTGCCACGGTGTGTTACTTCTTCTTCAAGGATAACCCCGAACAGGCAAGCCTCCCCAACGCACTATGTGCCTTGCTTCACCGGATATTCTATGAGAATAGCTCTCTCGCCGACCACTGCGAGGGGCAGATCAAAGCTGCCGGGTCAAACCTCCACTCGGATTCCACGTCGCTTTGGGCAATTTTTGAAACGGTGGTCAGTCACCAAGACGTCGGTCAAGTCATCTGTGTATTGGATGCTTTGGACGAGTGCGATCCAAGCGGGTGCCGCAGCCTCCTGCGATTGTTGAAGAGGTCCATGCTCTCATCAACCTCGAGTATCCGACAAGGTCGCATCAAGTTCCTCATCACCACAAGAGGGTACCCAGAAATCTTGGACGAATTTCAGGACTTTGAGTCGGCGTGCATCCACCTCTCTGGAGACAGCACTGGAGAGAAGCAACAGATACAGAGGGAAATCAACCTAGTCCTCGACCACCGGCTTGCTAAGCTTTCGGCTAAGAAGAGGTTATCACCGGACAGACGGACTTTGATCCGAGAAGCCCTCCGATATCCCGAATCCGAGCAGAGGACGTATCTCTGGGTCAGTTTGGTGTTTGATGTCTTGGATCGCAACTTCAATGACACTCAGGCAGGGTGGGAAAAGCTCATCAAAAATCCACCCACGACCGTTTTCCGAGCATATGAGAAACTCCTGGAGCGCGTCGACCCAGAGGATATGGAACGAGTCAAGATCCTCTTTGATCTCATCATTGCAGCAGAGAGGCCTCTTACTTTAAGCGAAGTGAATATCGCCATCCATGTGAGAGACCGCATCGGGGCCTACTCAGAAGCCGAGCTGGACCTTGCCCCGAACGAGAATTTCCGCAAATGGTTGATACATACCTGCGGGTTCTTCGTCACCGAATATGCCGACAGGGTCTTCTTCATACACCAGACCGCCAAGGAGTTCCTCTTACAAGACGCGGCCAAGGGCGAACCCAACGTTTGGCGAAACTCTGTCACGATGTCGCAAGCGCACCGGTCGATGGCAGAGAGTTGCATAGCATACTTGTCAATGAAGGTTTTCACGAGTCCTGCGTTCCGCAAAACAGTTGCAGAATGCTACAAGAAGTGCGACAAGGATATAAGGATGCGCCTGGGATCTAACAACTACGCTGTGTTTGAGCGCGGCATCCCTTCTAAACGATACCGGTTCTTCAACTACGTATTGCGATACTGGGTAGGCCACTTTCGATCCGCCCAGGAGTTTGAAGGATCGGCTGTCCGGGACATAGATAAGAAGTTTGACGCCTCCTACTTCTCCCTCTTCGACGATAAACCGCCCATCACTATGCCGTGGTTGGTGATGGCTGCGTCTTTAGAATGGGCTAACTATGCCAAGTTGACCGAGATGAATGTGGAAACCCGTCGGTGCGTTGCGTCAGTTACTGTTGCTTCAGTGGCTGCTCTGTTTGGCCATCTCCGGCTTCTCCAGCAATATACAGAGCAGAATGGTGCCGCCGACTACCAGAACCGGGAAATGGGGCAATATCCAGACGCAGCTTCCGATGAAGATGAGCCCCCCGACCAGCCGATATTCTTTGCCGCAATGGCGGGGCGTATCCATTGCCTCGACTACATACTTTCCAGGTCTGTTCAACAAATCGGCGCTAGAGATAAATTGCAGAGAACGCCACTCCATATAGCTGCACGGTACGCGCGGCTCCCCATATTGAGACTTCTTATTGATCGAGGAGCCAGCGTCAACGCCAGAGACCAAGCTGGTCGGACAGCGCTGGATCATCTGATACGATACAATCGCGCAGAGAACGATATCGTGGGCATTATTCGATGCCTCATCTCCAATGGAGGGAAGTACCGTCTCCAAACCGACTCTCTTCTTCATATCGCCGCATCTCTCTCGCATGAGACCTTCCCAGAGCTGCAGATCCTAGAACGTGAGCATCAACTGGACTCATTAGAGCCGACTCATGTTGCCTCGGAGATTGACCTGTCCTCCGATATCTTCAAGGCAGCCTACGGACAGTCCTTCATCAAGTTCCTGATAGACAACGGCGAAGACCTCAACTCCCGGGGCGTACTAGGGAAGACTCCGCTCCACCTGGCCTGTATTAATGGCCGAGTCTGGAACGCCATAATCTTTCTCCATAACCGGGTCGACATCAACGCCCCGGACGATTTGGGCCATACACCCCTACACTACGCCTGCAACGCCAAGAACGGCTCAACCCTCGTGGCCATACTCCTCAAATACAAAGCCAGTGTCACCGCCGCAGACCTACGTGGCCAGACGGCGCTTCACTGGGGGTGTGGGCAATCGAACCCCGATATCGTCCGCCTGCTCCTCGAAGCCGGCGCCGCAGTCAACGCCCCCGAGCTAAACGGCGCGACACCCCTAATGATAGCCTCCGCAAACCAAAACCTGTCACTCAGTACCGCCAGATTGGACCTCCTCCTCCGCCACGGCGCCGACGTCCGCGCGCGAGACACCAACGGCCGGACGGCGCTACACTATGCCTACGAAAGGCATGGAGCGCTCATCGTCGTCAGGACGCTGCTCAGCGCGGGCGCAGACATCGAGGCACGCGACGGCGAGGGCCGGACGCCGCTGCAGGACGCGTGCCACACGCATAATGGAGGGATGGTTAGGTCGTTAGAGAAGGGCGTGTATATTTCTGTGCCGGAGGATTGGATGCCGATGGACATTGCTGTTGAGAGGAGGTCGGAAGGGTTTGTGGAGTTACTAGAGGGTCGGGTGCTAGAGGAATAGGGTCTCGCTGGCCGTGTGTTACGATTTGTCGACAAGGGGAAAACAGCGCAGTCCTTCTTGCTTGATCCTCGAATCGGCGGCATTAAATCCAGATCTGTCCCAGCTTATAGTTGGTGGGAGGTCTGTCGCTGACCTTAGAGAGACTAGTCCTGGGAGGTCGGGTCGGTCGGTGTCCATTGTGCAGTGTCTAATGTGCCTGCCTATTGTTCCCTCTAGGTACATTTAAGCCATCTTCGCTATCAACACCCAACCCGAGTCACGTCGCCAGACCAACGACCAATTTTCCACCGCTGATTTCTCCCCTCCTCATTCTATCCAATCCCTTATTGACACTGCCGAGACCTTCCTGCACGTCAATGATCCTCGGAATAGCAATAACACCGTCGGCGAGCAGCCTCTCCAGCCAGGAACACAACGTCTCGCCTATCGATGGCACCTCATGGAAGAGCTTGACAGGGATAACATGAAAGAACACCCCACCCGGCCTCCCCCCCTTCGGAAGACCACTCAAACCAACAAGATGAGCCGGGGCCACCGCCTCGGTCGGGGGCGTGCTGGGCGGGGAATCGACATCAGCGGCACCGTTATGCAGATGGACATCCTCCGCCGCCAGGGCGCGGAGCAGCAGCTCTGCGGTGTCGCGGCCGCGGGTGTCGATGCCGAAGCGCAGCTTCCCGCCCGTGTTGGCGCGGAGCACGGCGATGGCGCGCTCGGGGTCGTAGCTGTCGACGAGCAGGTCGGGCCGCAGTGCCGGGTCGTCGGATATCCGCAGGCCGTGCTTGGCGCTGTCGACCACGGAGGCGACGCGCAGGCCCGCCAGGCGCGCGAGCTGGATCGCTATCGTCGCTGACGTCGACGAGCCGCCCCATATCGCGATCCAGTCGCCTGGCTTTGCTCGCGAGGAGGCCGGGATGCCGCTTAGGCACTCGTCGCGTATGTCGGATGGGAGGGTGCCCGGAGGGAGGGCTCGGACGAGGTCGAGGAGGTCGGGGCCGTCGTGGACGTGCGTGAAATCGATGCCGAGACACACGCCGAGTGCGAGCGATGCTGCAACGTAGGCGACGCCGAGTGTGGCCCCATCCCTCAGGGACACACGGGGCGGGATTCGCACGACATTGAAGTCGGATGCCACCACGTATTCTTGGTATGTCCCTTTGCGTTGGTCCCGGTAGTCGGTTGAGATGACGATAACCTGATCCCCGAGCTTCACCCTTGATGGAGCCTTTGCTGCCCTCACAACTGCGCCCGTTGCCTCTCGCCCGGAGATATACGGTAGCTCGGGAATACCGAATCCGAAGTCTCTACAGACGAAACTTCTGTCAGCATCATGGGCTGCTTGGAGCTGACTGCTCCCAGGAAAATTGGACGCACTCACGGAGCCTTCCAATCTATTGGGTTCAGTCCGACTGTGTGGCTTCTCACCAGAAGCTCGTGGTCTTGCCTTGTATCCGGCACCGGATACCCGTCGGTCAGCTGGTATTGCTGCTTGACTCCGTGAAGAAGAAGGACAGTCTGTGTGGTTGGTATGTCGACAGGGGGGATGGAATTGGAGCTGGAGTCGGAGTTGGGAGACGAGATGTTGCCAACGGCATTTTCTGCCCCCAAGTTAACTGTTTCCTTCTCATTAATGCCGGTTTTCCTCCTGCTCTTGCGGGAGAGCCATCGGGTTCGGAACAAGCCCCCATCCATCGTGATTGCTGGTTATGGTAGGTAAACTGGCAGGTCAGATTGCCAGCGAGTCTAGGGGATTAACGATGGGTATCGTTATAATTAGGGTCTGGACGTGGAGATATGAGGGACTGGCCTGCAGACTCAGACTGTGGCGCGATAACTAGCAGCTGTTGCGTGAGGGCTAGGCATGCAGCATAACTGTGCCTGCATGTCAATAAGCAACTCAAAGTACTCACCGGGAGACGTCTAGATTACCAAGCCTCCGATTACCGGTGTCAGCCTGGTCCCAAATGGCTGGGCCATTTGCAGGAACGCAGCTCCGACACGGGCTGGCACCTGTTTCACGTGGCTTCCTGAAGAATAATTACATACTGCAATTGCCTGGACCACTGGCCGGCGGCCCTTGCACGGTACCATGATGAGGAATACCCATCATTTGTGCTAGACTGCGAAGTTGAGCAACGAGGTATTTTTCACTAGCCGTTTGTTGATCGATGGCGCAACTTAGATATCTCGATTGCGCCATCCGCCAGCCACGTGCTTGGCCGTCCATATTGGTTATTACTGCTCTACACACCAGACGCTAGAATCGATGTCTCCGCTTCATGTACCAGTCAGGAACGGCCATTCTGAGGATGCTCGGTATTAGTCTTCTTCCTACTTGTAGTAGGAGGTAGGTAGGTAATTACTAATTACATGCTCGACAATCGTAAGTACTCGGTACAAGTACCATCCGAATCCCATCGTAGACTCGCCACCCGGCCCTCCGTCCCGATACCGGTTCGATAGACGAGTTGGCTCATCCGGATACAGTCGAAAAATAATTAGTACCTTCGGATCTCGTGGGGTTATTTAGGAGACTGCGTCAAGCGCGGCAGAAGGTTGCGAAAGGTTGTTAGCCGGCCACCGATTGGAGCTAATTAATATTTTCCTCTTTCATCTTTTCGCCCCATAACTGGCTCTTTCTGATGCTAATTAGGAATCTGGACGGCGACGAAGCATGCGCGACCTGGATTGTTCTAGCCTGATCAGAACCTGGGCTGGGCTGCACTTGGAAAGCTCAAATCTCCGTCAGCTTGGTTCTGAGTTCCGAGAAAATGTCTCAGTTCTAGCTCTCATCCGAGGCAAGGGGGCCTATGTTTGGGAACCGCCTGCCAAAACTGCAGTGACAGACTGCTGTTTTATGATTACGGCTATCGGCGTGAGCCACCATACCGCAAATAGGAAAAACAAGATCCCGCCTCAATGCTTGGCTGACTTCTGCGGCGGTCTGATGGTCAGCACTTTGCCTGGTGAGACTGTTGAGAACTATGCCGAGGGCGAGAATAGCGGTGCAAGAAACGCAGTGCTCAGGTTGTAGCGTAAATTACCTGTTGGTCGGAGAGTATAGACGGTGATGAATGCCGGACCAGGGATGGAGCCATCGTGGTCTGTTGGACGGAAAAAATTCCGCGGATGGTAGGAGTCGAGAAGCGGGAGCCCTGGTCTGTTCAAGCAACATGGTTTTCATCCGAGTCAATTGGAATGCCATCGTGACAGTTACTACTGTAAACAGAGCCTGGATCACATAGCGAGTTGATGACACATTTCAATTAATCGGAGATGGTGGCCGCTAGGATTCATTCACCGCCTTCGTTGTCGTCATCCTCCTCCTCCTCAGAATTACCATCCTCGTCCTGTTCAACTACTTCCTCCTCAGATTCGGACAGTTCAGACCCTTTCGTTGATTTGTATGGATCCGCCCGGTGACGACTGCGCCTGCACCCCGGTGCCGAGCCAAGCTTGTCGCAGCAGGTCCACCGAAAGCCTTCGGGGTATTCCTCACGCATCTCCTTTGTGTCTATTATCCCGTGACAGTTCTCGTCGTGGTCGGCCCAAAAATCCCCCTCATAGTCCACTTCTAGAGTGCCTATAGAAAGATATGATCAGTCTGCATCCAATGTGTAGGACATACTGAGAAGGTGGGGGATGTACCGGAGTGGTATTGGCAATCTTTCGTGATATTATGGTCGGGTTCGAAGACATCGTCGCACTGAACGCAAATGGCGACCGAGTACTCAGCTTTGCGTTTGCGAGCGGACACAGATAGAAACTTCGCGGCTAACGAGGTTGCCTTCTGACAGACCCGGGAATCATTGCAGAGGAAGATCAGGATGGAGCGCGCATCTTCGGCGGAGATGGCCTTGAGTACATCCGTATCGCTAGCCCACGGCGTCATAGTTTTGTCGATCTGCGATATCTCGACGTGTAGTGATTAATTTTGTTTAGAATGGTGTTCGCAGAGAACGCGTCGACACGCGAAACACGGAAATGAGGTAAACATGGTGGGGCCGGGGCCGGGGCCGGGTCTCGGAGCCCCACGTTGAGGGGAATTCCGTATTGCGCGTAAGATCCCCGATTGAACCCAAGCCGATTAACCCGTTACCGTATTGAGACATTAGGGTACATTACAGAGACTTGTTCCATAGTAACTTGAGATGTCGCGTATTACTGATAATTACAACGCAGAATCTCGACTCTCGGAAGATTGCTAGACAGGAAGCAAAGAGTGTGAAGAGAGCAGGCTTGTCATGACGCATTTAAATCTTGGAATTGAATCTTACCAAGTAACCCATTTTCGACGCAGCAGTGGTATTCCCCGAATAACGCCTATTACATTCCGCAAAGTGATTGTTTAGATTTCCACCCTGTCATGCACGGATTAGCTCTTCGCGTCAGGCAGGTAAACACGCAATAGGCCCACTCACGGACGAGGAACCTCCCTGTCCATCTCCCTCAGACGCAGATCCCGCGCTGCCCTCTCCTCGTCGAACATGACTACGAGGTCGGCATGCCCCCTTTGCGCGGCAAGACTCGAGGGCGAATCGCCGTCCACGTCGATGTTATCCAGGTCGGCGTCGTGGTCGAGAAGCAGACGAGCGATGGCTCTGTGGCCGCCGTAGCCACACATGCTCAGGGCGGACCATCCCCACCGATCCCTGGCGTTGACGTTCATTCCCAAGCCTATCAACTTGGCAACCCGGTCGATGTCCCCGTCGCTGGCCGCCGTGATTATGTCCGTGTCCTTCTGGAACAGCTTCTTCAGCAATCTGCTCGGGTCCGTCCTCCTCCTCACCCTCGCCCGCGGCGGCGGCGCCTCGGCGGCGAGATACTCGAAGATATCCTCCAGCGGCCGTTCTGTCCGCTGCGTCTGCAACTCCTCCTGGAACTCCTCGTTGGCGGCATTCAGCGCCACGACGCTGGGCCGACGGATCGAGCCCTCGGCGCTGCCGTAGGCCGAGTCACTCGGCGCGCAGCCGGGCGACGGGGCTCTTTCTTCTGCCTCTGGTTCGTCCGCCGCGGCGTCTGCTGCCAGCGCCATCTTCATCCAGCTTATGATGTACTCGCGGTTCTCCTCGACGGTGGCGGCGCTGATGCCGACGTCGTCTAGCTCCCGCCGGAGCTCGGCCCAGACGCCCGGCGAATCGATCGTCTCGGCGGCGTTGGACGCCTCGGCTACCGAACCTTCTCGTAGGCCGGCTCGGACTTCGGTCATGAACTTGCTTAGCCTCTTCTCGATGCGCGCTGTGGAGGAACTGCGGGCGGAGTTATGTGGTCAGCGAATACACGGCAGCATACGCTTGGGGCGGGGCGGGCTTGCTTGATCAGTGTGGTGTTATACGCATTGAGCAGAGTCGTGGTCGACACGAGCCTCGACCGGACCTCAGATAGGTCGTTAAGGCCGAACCTCATGCGGTCCCAGGTCCGCTGGGCCTGCGTCCCCAGACTCTCGTAGCGGCTGACGAGGCCCTCGAGGTCGTTCAGCGTCGACGCGCATCCTTGGCAGAGGATCTCCAGGCGGTTCCGCCGCGAAATGTCCAGGTTGCCGTGCTCCTCGACGTATTCGGCCGTCTCGCGCAGGACGGCATCGAGCGACGCCAGCTCGGTCGATAGGCGGCGGAAGTCCTCGCTTGACTCCCTGCATTTCTTGTACAGGCGCCAGGCGATGCCCGCCACCATGAGGACGTCGCCAACGCCGACACCGAAGTTCATCCTGAGTGGTTGAGCTTGGATCGAAAGTGGACTTGCAATGGTGCTGGGCTAGTGGTGGATCTTAGTTAGCTTGGGAATGGGCTTATAATGGTCCCAAAAGGCGACGCTGGGTCGACGATGGCAAGGCAGAATTCCCCGCCTTTATGGGTTCCCCTCCATACTGCGCAGCAATCAATACAAACTGCAGTGCACTGCAGGGGACAGCGTTTAGCGAGATGTGATGGGAGGCTTGGTTCTGCTGCGGAAACCACGCAGGCCAATTAGGTATCCTCGAGAGCGCCACCACGACGGGCCCGCAATCGGGAGGGCGGGTAGTTAAGCACCAGCCTCCTCCCTTCATATGTCCATCGCGATCTCACCTTGCCCTGCCCACTTCGTCATTGTTTTGTTACCCAACTGATCGTCCAGTCTCGAGGCCTTGGAACAGCTGCTACAAGTACGCAGGAGGATTGGGTCTCGCTCACGATGGGAGAGTTCCAGGAGCAGAGTCCCCGCCATGTCGGCATCGTTGGGGCTGGAATTTCTGGCCTGCGTTGCGCAGATGTCCTGCTTTCTCGTGGATTCGAGGTCACCATGATTGAGGCCCGGGACAGAATCGGAGGGAGGGTATGCTGCGTGCTATGCTCGAGCTCTACAAGTCTCTAGCTGATGCATTGCAGATCTGTCAGTCAGACGAGCTGGGGTACACTGTCGATATGTGAGAGACGGCAACCTAACCCCGCTCCCCCTCCCTTCACCCCACCCATTTCGCACCAGGTCGCTTGGGCTGACAGGGGCAGTGGTCCCAATTGGATCCATGCCTGGACAGACTCGGACGAACCCCATCCGATCTACAGGGCTGCTACCGAGACCGGCACTCCCCTTCACCACTGGAACAACAAACAACTGATCTACGACTCCGCCGGCGACACCCTGCCCGACGCCGTGACGGAGCGTCTGTCCACCCTTCTCTGGGAGATCATAGAACAGGCCTTCAAGTTCAGCCAGGACGCTCACGACACCGGCAGAGCTGCCGACATTCCGAGCAAAGAGTCTCTTCATGACTTTGTGAAGAAGAAGGCCGAGGAGCTCGTGCAGGATGAGACGGAGCGGGGCCTCCTGGTCCAGATGAGCGAGATGTTTGGCGCCTACGTCGGCGAGCCCGTGTGGAAACAGAGTTTGAGGTTTGCCTGGATGGAGGAATGCTGTGGCGGAGGTCTGTTGTTCGCGCATTTTGTTCCAAGCTTGGCTGACTGACTTGCTGGCCGGCAGATGAGATGTTTGTCGAATCCAACTATTCCAGCATCCTCCAGCGTATTGCTGGCCCCGCCCTCAGGAGTGCACGCATTCTGCTGGGCAAACGCGTGACGGCCGTGTTGACTCCCGAGTCTCGCGCACCGGGAGGGAAGGTGACGGCGACGACGCAGAGTGGCGAGACGTTTTTCTTCGACGAAGTCGTCATCACGACGCCCCTGGGCTGGCTGAAGCACAACCTTGACGTCTTCTCGCCGCCTCTACCGGCTCGGATCAGCGCGGCGGTGAACAACATCGGCTTGTCACAGCTGGAAAAGGTGTTTATCACCTTCCCGTCCGTCTTCTGGACAGCCGACCCCGACGCAGATACATTTCCGTGCTACGCCAACTGGCTGGCCCCGGACTATGCAGGCGACACCAACCCGCAAGGATGGCCGCAAGAGATCTGGGACCTGTCGTCCTTCAAGGCGCCCAACAACCACCCCACCATCCTCTTCTATCTCTACGGCGACTGCTCCCGCCACATCGTCGACACGATTTACGGGAAGCCCAAAGACGACAAATTCCGGCTGCTCGACGATTTCTTCCGCCCGTACTACTCCCGCCTGCCCGGCTTCGCGGCGGGGGACGAGAGGTGCGTCCCCGCGGCCATCCTCGCGACCGAGTGGCTGAAAGACGAGCTCGGCGGCGGCGCGAGCTACTGCAACTTCCCGGTGGGCATCGAGGAGGCCGACGAGGACGTCTTGGCTTTCCGACGCGGCTGCGAGGAGAGGCGGCTGTGGTTCTGCGGCGAGCACGCCGCGCCGTTTGAGGAGTGCGGCACCGTCGCTGGCGCGTACCTGAGCGGGGAAAATGCGGCGGAGAATATCTCCCGGGTCTACGGGGTGAGCTGAGAGGGAGATGACCTCGAGGCGAGCCTGCTTTTCCTGAGAATTAGGTGGCAATCAATGTTCCTGGCAAATTACATGTCTAGAGTCGGGCCAAAGTAAGGAAACTACTATGCATCCAAATATTATCAACTGATAAGGGATCTATCACAAATTGGCGGACCTGACACTATTGTTATAAAAGACAAATCTCGTCATTTCGTCCTTGCAGGGCTGCGGGGGGCCGCTTCAGTGTTCCTTGCAGCCCTACGACGCTAAAAGCTACACTACGAGTCTACGACAATACCGGACCACTCAGTGGGTAATAGCGGTTGACACGAGGTCGTCGTCGTCGCATCCTGTCGCCTCTCCTGATGAAAGTGTACGTGGAATCAGGCATCAGCCGGGGAAGGAGTTCTCGGGACCGATGCAGCATGTTGAAGCCCTTTTTGTGCGCAGTTACACCTCCTCTCGCATTTAATTGTTAGTGTGGCAAGGGTGACACAATTTTAGATGGCGCTGGCAGTATCGCCCCACCAGGTATGTACTCATGCTAATGTTTGAAATGCTAGAGGAGGTGTGCCGCGTCCAATCACATCGTCAGCCAAACCGCCAGCACCAGGTTCGCTCGCCTATCAGATTGATGCCCAACCTAGCAACAACATCACGGCCTGGTGAAATGAATAGCTTGCTGACTAACAAATACAAAACCTTGACTAGAGGGAATAGAGAAGCTTGCTGACTAACCAAAGCGTTTACTGTGGCGTTTCTAAGCGCTTGTTCAAGCCGACAAAACGGTGCCTCTGTAAAAAGCAGAAAACTGCACCAAAGAGATTCAACACGCTTTTTTTTTTACACTTACTCTTCTAAAGTACCTTGATACGCGCTAACCTGCTATAGCCCTATGCAGAGGTGGATAGATCATGGTTAATATAAATGGCCCAACTTAGCCTATTCCTAACAATGTCACCACCAACTATAAAATGGTAAGCTCCCTATCAGATTATTCTAGTCTCACAAACAGCACACTATCTCTTCCTCTTTGGAAATTACCAAGCTATCCAAGATAGTTGCTTGCAATGCTAGGTTAGCGCTTTATATGCAGTACAATCCTATACAGAAGAAAAAAGCCTGCAAGTATATAAAAGAGTACGCATTGCAGCTAATTAACAATTCTACTCTTGTCTCCAATAGTACTAAGAAAAAGCAAGACTGCCTTTAGGCTATGTAGCTTAAATATACAGCATATGCCTTTATTCCCCTTCCTACGCTTTTCCTTGTAAAGAAAGATGCTAATAATATTACAAGGGTATGCAAGGTTGACTTGCTTGTCAGTTCTAAGGCTGCTTAGGTTAGCTTTCTCTGCAATCCTAGAATCCCTACATATAAGGCTCCCTTTAAGTTGTTCCTTAAAAGCTATATGGTAAACACAATGCAGATATGCATAGTCTTAGACTCTCGCAAGCGTATACCCTAGCAAAAGTTAAACTCTTTGCACAGTGTTGTTAAGGTGTAGCGCTAGCTAGTTGCCTAGGCTAACTATCACATTATGCTTTTAAAAAGGAGAACCAAGCTTTCCAAAGCGCATAAATAGAGACTTTGTCATAGCGTTAAAGAAAAGAGTATAGTAAAAAGCCTAACTTACCTTATAGTTTAAGTAAGTTAAGCTACGCCAATGTAAAGATAATGCTATGCTAACCTCTTTGCAGTAGATTTACGTTTACCTTAGCCTAAAGCTTAGGCTAGAAGCATCTCCCAAGTATGTCAAGGTTGCAATAACTAAAACCAACATACAAGTTATGTTTTGAACTGTATAGACATATGCTTTTGACATCTCCTGCATATCTATTATCTATATATCCTTTTATGCCATTATCTTTATAGAAGCTTTAGAAGGCTTTAGACTAGGCACTCTTATAAACTTGCTATATAGGTAGTTTAAGATAGCAGTTATGCATAACCTTACAAATCTAGCTAAGACAAAAGTCATCTGTATAATCTAGATTAAGCAAAGCAAGATTAAAGAAGCTAAGCAGTTTAGCAAGTTAAACAATAGTGGCTAGTAAGTTTCTCCTGTTTATAAAGCAGGTTTCTTAAACTATGCATAGACTTAGCTGTCTTGTTTTTCCAAGCTAGACGCTGCTTTCCAAAGCCTACTTGCATACCAAAGAAGTGCTAATACTTTTAGCAGAATCTGTTTTTCAATTACGCTTGTGCCTAACAAGACATTCTGCCTTGCATTTCTTATTTTTGCTTAGGCAATTCAAGACAATGCATTCAAGGCAAACTATAAAACAATTGACAAGATATTTGACATGCTAAACTTAGACAATGTAGATTACATCCCTTTAGCATGAAAGGAAATATCTCTTAACAAGCATATCTTTCTAATTACCTATGCTATCTTAAACTAGCTGTAGATTTATATTCTAACTATTGCAAGCTATTAAAAGCTGTTTTGGCTATATAGTCTCTATGTTGGCACTAAAGGTTAACTTAATAGTAAGTTTATGTCTTATTACAAGTCTCTACTAATTTTTTAGTCTAATGTTATTGTCTTAAAAGTGCTTTTTAATTATTTACGCAATTATATTCTTTCCTATACCTTAGTAGTCTTTAAAGACAGCTACTAAACTTATCATCTCTAGGTTAATCTTGCCAAATTAGCGTTTGGTGATAATGCAAGACATAAAGATGCCTTATTTCAAAAAATCTGCAACATATCTCTAACCTAAAACCTAAACACCTCTATCAATCTTAACCTAGATAACTATCAAAGCTTTGAAAAGCAAAGGGATATCACAAGTTACCATTTCATGATTAGAAAAACCATAGACAGGAAAAAAAGACACCTGCTGCAATTAAAGCTAAATAGCACTTTAAAGACACTCAAGTGCCTTAGGCTAGTTAAAAAAAGGCAGCAGTACTTTGATTATGTCAACAGTTTACAATCTTAAGGCTTAAGTATGATAAATTAGCATGTGTTAGAAAAACCTTTTGTCTATTCAATAGCTTTTAGAGTAGCTAAGGCACTTCTAGATACTTTAACTTATTTCTTAAACCTTATAGCTACTTTAAGGCAATACAAGACTTAGATTCTTCATTTTTTAAACAGCAAGGCACTTTTATCAAAGTAGAGAAAAGGAAAAATCCTGTCTTATATTGCAAGACAAGAGAATAATGCTAAGTCAAATACAATGTCTATATGCTATTTATACATTTAAAGCTTTAGCAATCATGCTAACTTAATAAAGCATTTTTAAAAAAAACATACTATAGATATAACCTTTAATTGACTATTCCTTTGCTTCAAATGCTGCTGTTTAGGCTTTTGTGATACTATTGTAGAAAGCTTTTGCTACTAAAGCAACTATGTTAAGACAATGCATAAAGAAGCACATGCGCTTAACCTTACATCTTAAACAATCTTAGTACATAACTGCTTAATTTGCCTGTCATAGCTATCTACTTTCAATGCGCTTATTATCTATATAAACTGCTATGTTGCAGCATGCTAAGAGCTAGTTTGTTGCTGCCTATGTCTTAACATAATAGCTAAGCTTAGCAGTATGTAGCACTAGATAAAGCATTGCAAAGCATATCATATGCTAAAACTAAAGCCTTGTCTTCTCTATAGATAGTCTTCTCTTTTTTCAAAAAGCCTTATGCAATACATTAACTTTACGCATAAGGAGCACTTCTAAAACCCTAGCCTTTGCCTAGCATATGACAGACAAGAGATTAAGGGAAACAAACTTTACAACTCTTTTATTTATTAGTCTGCATATGCAAGAATATTTCACTTTAGTTACCTAGATGCAAGTTTTGTACTTGTAAAGGCAATGCATAAAAAAGTTGGTAAAGATCTAGACATACCTTAGATAGTCTTGCTTGTTGCAATTGACTCTAAAAAACCTATATATGTCTTAGCTTGATATAATATTACCTTAATAGCAATTGACAGCTTAATAGGAGAATTAGGATAGAGCAGCTCTAGGTTTACCTGTCTTTTAACAGACATTGCTAATGATAGTATAGACTTGTCTATAATGTCTTTTGCCTTTAGCATATTATCTATTAAAGATACAAACTATAGGCTAAGTCTTAATACTAACCTACTTGTCTTAGATGATTAGGAAGATAAAGACAAATGACAAGGATAAGAAATATAATAGCAACTAAATTTTAGGTTTGTTAAGCCTAGGCATCTAACATGCCTCTCTAGCATATCTAAGCTAAAACCTTTTGCAATATATTTAGTTAATCTAGCTTTTGACAATATGTTAAAGATAGATGCTATAGAGGTTATTACAAATCAATCACACCCTTGCTATAGCCTTAGCATGACAAACCTAGACAGTAATATACTATTAGACACAAGAGATAATCTTGTTATCTACGCAACTTCTATTGCAAAACATATGCTAAAATAAGCGCTAGTGGATAACACTATGCTAGTGGCTTTCAATAGCGATTCTCTAGATATATATCTAAATGCAAGTTTCTTAAAGGCTTTTTTAGACATTATAGTTATTAATGCAATCTAACCAAACCTTAATTATGTCGCTAATTTAGGCATAAATGCTTATGTCAATGCTAAATGCATTACTAAGGCTAATAGCAGGCATAATACTGCACTGCTAGCTTAGAATCTAGTCAAGGAGGAAGAATATAAAACTTACATTGTAAAAAAGATACTTAAATATAAAGGCTTTAAGCATAACTGCTTATATTATGTCAGCTAGGTTAGCTATATAGATTGTATATAGGAGCTGCTTGCATATTTTATGCATTGAGATATAGTTAATGACTATAAGAAGTTGTTATCTAAACGTAGGAGGAAATAATAAAGATAAAGCAGTTGACTTAAAGATGCAGTTGCAAGTGGAAAATTCTATTTTAGTTGAAGGTCTATCTTAAGCATGACTAGACATTTGTAAAAGGATAGGCTAATGCCTTGCACAGGGAAAGAATATAGTAGCAGGCATGCGGGCAGGAGGGTAGGTCTTGTGGTAAGCGTGAACTTTAGCTTGCCTTTCTTTAATTGTGTGTGCGATAGGATTTCTATCGCCGATGAGTTAGAATCTTGGTAGAACCTAATTCTAAGAGCTTAGACTGCTGCCTGCAGTCTGACTATTCTCCAACCACCATGGAGGTCTTTACAGTTATCCTCCTTCTTAGGCTGCTAGTCTCTAGCGGCTATCAAGCCTTGTTCTTTGCTACCTTTATTAAAACCCTGTGGGAAAAAGAGTAGTAGCCTCCCTGCCTGCATGCAGTTGGCTTCTAGTTGCAGCCTAGTCTTTGTGTGGTTGTTGTAAGGTGGTGTGGCTGCCTTACATCTAGGTGCGCAAAGCTGCAACACTATAGCGTAGATTGCTATTTGCGCGCTGGGTGGTTGCGCCTTGTATACGTGAGTGTCTTCCTTGACTGTGTTTGTATGTGTAGATAACTAGAAGCTTCCTTGCTTTGCCTAGTCCTTTGTATTGTTGGGTTGGCGATCTGGTTCTGTCAAGTCTGCGTTCTTTGTTGTGCCTGAAAATAGTGAACGCGCTAGTCGCTTTGTTTACATTGTAGATGTATTACCTAAGGTTGCCTCTCTTTTCTAGCCAGTGGTCTCTACAGGCTGTTGCTAGGCTAGCCTAAA